ATATATATATATATATATATATATATATATATATATATATATATACAGTATGTATATGTATATGTGTACATATATGTTTATGTATACTGTATATGTGTTTTTTAAATGAAATGAATAAATTAATTAAATAAATAAATTAGTCATTTATTAGTAATTTTAGTTAGTGCTTTGTTTCTATTAGACATTTTTTTTTGCTAATTTTAACTAGTGTATTGCACGTAGCTAGTTTTTGATACTTTTAGCATTTGAAAGCTTTTGCTATTTTTAAGTAGCCTTTAGATAAATTTAGTTTTTAGCTGGTGTTTTGCTAATTTTAGCTAATGTGTTTCTACTTTGACCTAGTGTTTTGCTCTTATTAACCTTTTTTAATTTTAGCTAGTGTATTGCTTGTAGCTAGTTTTTGATACTTTTTGCCTTTGACAATCTTTTGCTATTTTTAGCTCACACTTTGTAACCTTTACTTTTTTGCGAGTGTTTGGCTACTTTTAGCTAGTATGGCTTTTCTTACCTAGTGTTAAACATTTTGTTTTAGCTTTGACAACTCAATTTCAGCTTCTTTAGCAAATTTCAGCTGTCATCCAACTTCCAACATTCATGCTGCATTTTTACAGAATCTTTATTTTGTCTCATTTGATTTATTGTCCTTTGAAAAGAAGAACAGCTGAAAGAGTATTTTTTTTCTTTGAAGGTCTTTAAGCTGTTAGCTGTTTAAGCTGTTAACTTCCTCTCTGCTTCGCCTCTGATCATCTCTTAAGGTTGCTGAAGTAATTGCACGGGGAACAAGAGACCTGATAGAAAATAAGCTCCTATATTAGCCTCAGGATTAGGGTTCGCCTGTTTTTATCTCTCCAACCTATTATGCACCTGCTCAACGGGCACAGCTGCAAACATCTGCTGACACATCCATTAATGCTTTTAAATCCGAGTGAAATATTGTTAAAATGCACAGGAACGTGTGTGTAAATGCTGGTGCTGCATTATTAAATCAACATTTTTCTGAGGAGACCCGGTCCCATACTCGTCTAACGGAGCGCTCGATGAGGGACGGCTCTGGTACATACTTTCCCACCATCATCTGCATCTGGTGCTGGACCTCGGCTCGGACGGTGGCTGTGATGTTGCTGGTCAGCTGATCAGTGGAGCTTTGAAAGCTGTCGATCATCTGCTGGAGCTGCCCGACCACGGGGTCCCGTGCGTCCTGCTCTCTCTGCTTCCTGTTCTTCATGTGAGTATCGAGCTGCTGGATGTCTGCAGAGATCAGAGCATGTTCCTCTCACACACCGATAATCAACTCTCGTGTTGTTTTAACAATACTGTCTCACTCTGATATAAAATTGTTTCATTCAACAGTTTTTTTTTACTAATTATTTACTGAGAAGTGCTCCTTTTCATTTAGCTCTGTTGGCACAGACAGCTGCCTCTGCAGCTCCACTAAAGTCTACTTCCAGAGCTAAACCGTCAGCAAAGAGACTGTCGGACACTCAAAGCTGTGAGGAAATGGATGAACTTTCCAACGGCCGTCTCACTGAACTTTGAGTGTTTGTGACCAGTGAGCCATGCGGCCGTGTTTTAGGGGACCAATTTCTGACAATCACCACTTGTTTTTGTGGACAGTACAGGACGTGCATATTTCATCACCTGTCTCGGTCCACTTCGTACCCACCTCGGCAGCCGCTACAAGCACACTAGAATTTATGGAAACTAAATTGAGACAAACATAACCCCTTCAAACAACTAATGTAAAACCTGTCTGCCTGACATAATCCCTTCCAAAAGCCCATCTGGCTGCCGGACATGCACCAATGATTGATTATCTGCATCTGGACCTTCCTTACTTGATGATGTCTAGTGGTACTGACCAAATCACCCACTAAACTGGGGTTCATAACTCAGGAACTGTTGCAAAAATCTTAATCATTTTAACAATCTTCATGTTTTACACCCTGGACTAAAAGTACCATATTTTCCGTCGTACCCGTCGCACCACCCTGTAAGTCGCATCAGTCTAAATATGTCTAATAAAGTGGAAAAATCCATAAATACGTCACTTTTCCGTATACGTCTCATCTATTATGCGTCACCGCTGACGCGGCGTGTATGTTACACATCACTGCTGACAACTTGGAAATGTGGGCCAGTGTTGTGCCAAAAATCGATTGGCTGCCAAATGGTGGCCACAGGAGCGTACACAGGAGGACTTTAACAATAATTTAACAAGATTAACACTTAAAAACAATTATTTGTTTGTTCAAAAATATAGCAAAGGTGTGTCTCAGTTTAACTTTTCCTTAATAAATGCACTTTGACAGCCAAATCAGCTGCATTTTCAAAAGATGATACGCGGAAACATGAGCGCACAGGGGACGACTTGCTGTGCATTTCTATGAAATTTAACAAGATAAACACATAAAAACAATTATTTGTTTGCTCAACATTATAGTAAAGGTGTGTCTCAGGTGAACTTTTACTTAATAAATGCACTTCAGTGGTCAAATCAGCTGCATTTCACCGGGGTGGCGCAGCGAAATGAAGCTGATTTGATGGTTGCTCCAGGCAGATGACGGAGCCAGACTATGGCAAGCCGATTGTATCATTAATAGCCACTTTTACCTATTACATGACACAACGGCATGCCATACTACTCGACTGCCATCTAGCAGCTGAAAATGGTAGTGTTCAATATTTTCAGTCAGAATGAATGAAAACGGTCAAATCTCAGACAAAAATTGTTTATAAATATGGAAAAAAAATAAATGCATCGCTTCGGCGTATAAGGCACAGGGCATGCAAATTATGCAAAAAAAAAACGTGACATACAGCGAAAAATATGGTAGCTAGATCCTGATCAACGTGCAGCAGCATGTGTGTTGCCTTCGACTTTCTAAACAGTTGTGAACAGTTTGGGTCATCGGACTGAATCAGAGAGAACAAAGATGAAAATCATTAACCCTGGTTGAACAGTTTAGGATGATGGTCCCCCGCATTTACTCCTACATAACCCTGAGGTCTTGCTCTTCTTCTGCCACACACAAATAAATATATGTTTGAGATAATATGAATAAAGTTTTTCTCTGTTCATTGTTCCAATAAAGACTTTAATGGTTCACTAGCACATCAATTAATCACTGTCCACCACAAAGAAGAAGAGAAAAGGGGTTTTGCGGTTCAAATCACCACTTCTGCTCCGTATCGCTTGTCTTACATTCGTGCGTGCCTTGTTTGAAGCTGTCGTTGATCTGCTGAAACATGGTCTGGCAGCCTCTTTCAAAGACGGGCAGGACCGTGCTCTGGAAAGCGTCTTTGTAAGCCATTTGGATGGGTCCCTGTATTGCTTCGGCTGCTGCTCGACCGATCGAATCCGTTAGGTTCTGATAAACAGGAATGGCAGAGAAATCGCTCAAGAATAGAAATACAATAAACACATGACAATGAAACAAATCCCACAGACCCTCACCTTGGATTTGACCACCTTGATCACGTTATCTTTCAGGGTGACCTCCACAGCAGTCAGTTTAGCAGCTATCGTGTTGTTCAGTTGACCCGTGACAGGTTCAAGACTTTTGGAGATGGCTGCAGAAGAATTAAGAGGACAGATCAGCAAGAACTCGTCTAAAATTAGACAAGTGACGTGCTTCGAGGGCAGGAGAAGTGAAGCAGGAAAACGTTCCTCTAGAGGTTGCAGAGTTTTAGCGCTTCAGATCAGTTCAGCTACGTCAGCTTCATTATTTTTATTTTACTATTGCCTGGATAGATCTCAAGCTTTAAATGAGAGAAACTGCACTTCCAGTGAAAACAGCTGAATGACAGCTGAAACGGATTTGAAGGTAAAAGGAGCAGAATGTTAGCTAAAAAAAAAGGCAGCAGAATAGTAGCTAAAAGTGACAAAATAGCTTGTAAGCTAAAGCACCAAAAGAGTAATAAAATGTGAAATTGGGAAAATAACTAAAATCTAAAAGGAAAAAAGGCTAGCTAAAACGTGCTGGAAGCTAAATGTAGAAAAAAATTTAACATTTATCATATCAAAAGGCTAGCTAAAAGCAGCAAATGGCTAGCTAAAAGCTAAATGTACCAAAAGGCTAGCTAAAAGCTGATGTTTAAAAAAGCTAGCTGAAAGCCTAAAGTAACAAAAAACTTGTTAAATATTAAGTGTAAAAAGGCTAACTTAATGTTGAAGTAACAATAGGCTAGTTTTAGGCTAAAAATGAAAAGTTGAATGTCTAAAAGCTACAGAATAGTAGCTAAAGTAGCTAAAAGGTAGCTAAAACTAGCAAAAGATTAGATAAAAAAAATACAGATGGCAAAATGCTAACTAAAAATGAAAGGTAGCAAAAGCTAGTTAAAAGTATCAAATACCTAACAAAAGGTCATCTAAAAATACCAAAAGCCTAGCTAAGCTAAAACTCTCAAACGGCAACTAAAATTTAAAAGTAGCAAAATGCTAGTTAGAAGTAGTAAAAGACTAGCTAGAAGCTAAAGATAGAAAAATAGGTACATCAAATAATGGTAACTTAAAGTAGCAAAAGTACAGCTTAATAGTAAACATAGTAGAACTGCAGCTAAAAGTATTTAAAGGCTAGAAACTAAAAGTACCTATTGGAAAGCTAAAAGTAGTAGACTAGCTAGAAGCTAAAACTGGAAGAATGATAGTTAAAAGCTAAATGTAGCATAAGACAAAAATAGAGCAGATTTCAAATTGAACAATGTTTTTGAAAGAACTGAAGAATCCATCCAAGAATCAATCAATCAATCCATCCATCCATCCATCCATCCAGACTCTGGTCATTTTCTTGTAGCTGAAGAATCTGATTCTTACTTGGTGGGACGGTTTTCTTCAGCTCCTCTCGTAGAACTTTGTCCATCCGGTTTGTCAGCGCCGAGCTGAGAGCGTGGCTGAGCTGCTGGCTGAGCTGCTCCTGAAGCCGCTGCTGGTGGTTCTGACTCTCTGCCAGAACTCGATCCAGTCTGCGGTCTGAGGGTGGGAGCAGTTAAGGAACACGGCTCAACATCAAAACATGCACCTCAACCATGCGAGGTTTACACTTTAACCGTTTGCCCCTTTTGTCTGAAACAACAGCGATAAAAACTGAAGGATACGTTCTTGTTCCTGGTGTTTTAGCAGCAAATGCTCCACCTGAGCCATGATGGTACCCGGCATGGTCTCGATCAGGGCCGACAGTTCCGCTAACTCCCTCTGCTGGGTGCGCAGCAGCATCAACAACTCATCCTGAGTTTCTGTATTAAACTGCAGAGGAGATAAGGAACAAAAAGTTAAATCTGTGGCAGTCCACGGAAAGAAAACTGGTATAATTAGCAAACGTTGGCCTTCGCTTGGTTGATAATAAACTGATCAGTACGCTGATGTCTTGAAAAAATATATTTCCAGCTCCCTTTTTAATGTAAATGTTAAAAAAGTGATCAGTTTGAGGTATTGTGTAACACTGGCTTCAATATAATCCTTAAATGTATCAGAGCAGAAGACCAAACAAACACAGCCCAAACTCTTCAACATATTTCTGAGAGGAAAACCCACTGACAGGAAAAAATAGGAATCTGTTCATCCATTTCCTCATCTGTTCGCGTTCTACAAAATATTGCGGCAGTAAAGATACACAAAGACAAGACAAGTAACCAGAATACATGGATGTTCTGTAAGTATCTTACCTGAGCAGGATCCATGTGTCTGGACTGACAGAATTCACTGCAGGAGATAAAAATTATCATCAAACTCTGCAAATTGCAAATTTATTTGTATACTATTTCAACAATTCATAAATCAAAACGTTCAGCTCCTTCAGGACGTTCCTGCTGTGACTTTTGGTATTTGTCCAGTTTTTACTTTTTGAAATATTCAGCTTTGTCGGCAAAGTTTTTCTCAGGGAAAATGAATGAAGCTCATTTCAGCTGTTGTTCTGGTTCAGCTTTTTTCAGCTCCTTGCAACTATTTTACAGCTCTTTTGTGTTACATTTGCTTTTCGTTCTTTTTAATCTGCTAATTTAAGCTTTTTATGCTTCTTTCAGCTTCTTTTTGCTAAAACAGCTTCTTCTGCTGCTTTTTTCTTTAGGTATTTTCCCACCAATTTTAGCATTTTTCTGCTATTTTCTTTTATTTTTTTTGTTAATTTTGGCCTTTTGTGCTTCTTTCTAATATTTTCAAAATTTTCTTCTCCTTTCAGCCTCTTTCTGCTAATTTCAGTTTTTCGTTTTAGATTTTTCAGCTATTTTTTTGTTGCTAATTTCAGCTTTTTTCTGCTCGTTTCTGTTGTTTTTGCCAATTTCAGATTTTTTTGTAATTTATTCAGCCTCTGCCTTTTTCATCTTATTTTCCTCATTTCTGCTCTATTCAGCTTTTTGTCGACACATTTCAGCTGTTTTTCTGCTTTTATTTTTCTGCTTTCAGCAAATGTCAGTAGGGATGCACGATATTATCAGCATGGTATCAGTCGATAGTAACGTTAAATTACAATATCAGATATTGGGCATTCCATTAAAACAATTTGCCAATATAAAAAGCGCTGTTTTTGCCTGCAGCGGCAGCGCATGATGACGCTGCAGCACAACGCGATGACGTCACGTGCGCCTACACGAGCAAAAATTCAAAATGTCGGCGGTGTGGAAATTTTATTGTTCGTTGAGCCTCGCTACATCGTCCACAGTCAGAGATATTTTTCCAACGTAACATTACCCGAGTTACCAGCCGTCATTTCCGACGTCATTGAGAAGCTAATAGTCGATAGCACGACTTGTTGGGTGAGTTTTACCACAGACATTTGGACGTCATGTTAGCCCTGTTAGCATGATTAGTCTTACGGCACAATGGATAGACAAAAACTTTGAACTTTAAAAGTCTGTCCTTCATGCACAGGAGTGCAGAGGATCCCACACTGCAGCTATAGGAACCTGGAACAAACCTCCACAAGTGAGACAGCGTTGCAGGTGACTAATGCTAATAAATAACATTTAACACTTTTCATTTAATATAAGTTAAAGTGCTCTGCATATCATATGGCTGTTACTGAATATATGTCACCAGCTCTTACAGCTGTTGCACATTTTTTGTAGCAAATGAGCCTAAATAAGAGGGCTATGTTCTGACAAAGGAATGTATATAAAATATCGGTATCAGCATCGATTATCGTTCAAATAAGTTTTAACATATCGGCCAAAAATCCAATATCGTGCATCCCTAAATGTCAGCTATTCAAATTCAGAAACCTTTGCAGCTTCTTTAGCAACATTCAGCAAAAATGACTCGGCGATGAGCGTTCACGCTGCATTTTCACAGGAAACGACGTTTCTCTAGTTTAATTACAATCATTCGACTTTTCTGGTTTTAAAAACCTTAAAGCATAACATTTTATGTAAACAGTTTGTTTCTTTTATCACTAAATGATTCAAGTCAATCATCCAGGAGTCAAAAGCATAATCCAGAATAAGAAATCAAGAAAAACAAGCTAGTTTAGCTCTTTAGTTATCCACCACAATGGCTCCTTCAACTAAAAGCAGCATTTTAAAGATTTAGATTCTATTTATAGCAAACAAACAAACAAAATTACAAGATAAACTCATTCTGGCAGTAAAGTTCTCTAAATTACTCCTAATGTGAAGCTCTGGCCTCACAGCCTGCTTGCTGAAATAAAACCCACCCATCATCTTTCTTCATCTTCCTCTTGAGTTTGGGTGAGCCTCGGGGTGAGGTCTTCCACTCTTTGACCGCTATTCTGTGAGACGAGCGGGAGCCACAGTTCCCAGAGGACGAAGCCAGACTGGAGATCTCGTCATCAGGGTCACTGAGGGAAACGGACTCTATGAAATGTAACGCAACATTTAAAAACTAAATCAAATCGTTGCCTGTAGTGAATTACTGACCTCTGCTCGGCGGCAGCGTCCTGGCTGTCGCTGTGCGTCAGGTGATAGGAGCGTCGGTGGTAAGGTGAGCTCAGGTGTCTCTCCTGCGACTCCTCCCTCGAGCTGAAACACAAACATGAACGTTACAACAATCCTAAAAGAATAAAACATAAAGTCTCACTCACACACTGCTAGTTACAGAAAAATGAGGACATTCTGAAAGATGCCGACACGGCTTCTGCTCCAAGAAAAAACCCAGACATTTCTTGAGGAGACTTCATTTCGTAATAAAAGCAGCACTCCTTGAAGGAGCATCGTCTTACGCGCTGAAGTTTACTCCAGGACCTGGTGCGGTCAGTTGGAGCTCAGTTTGTGTTGTGTATGACTCTCAGCTACTACCACACCAAACTGTAGTAAATAAAAATGTAAAACTGACAGAGTTGTAGCTGTCCGGCCATCTTGAATCAGGTTGACTAAATGAGTTGCAGATGTGCTTCCTGAGTTTCATTAAAATCTATCCAGTGGTTCTTGAGATATTTTGCTAACAGAAACGAACGCACGGAATTTTTATTAAGGAGGTGGGCAATCATGTAATCCTCACAGGGTTCAAGCTTACACAACAATCTCATGATAAACTAAATAAAACGTTACAGATGTTTGCTTTAATTGTTGAAAAACACTATAGTATATCTTCTGTTGAATGTTTTAGAAAAAAAAAAAAAACAATTCAAACATTTTATTGTTCACTGAGTTTCTCTAAAACTAGATTTGTCAACAGAAAGCGTCTTGGACAGGGAAGATCACCGTGTCGCCACGATCACATGATTCAGATCCTCGCTGGCTTATTTTATACATGATCACTCACTTCTTCACCAGATTAAATGAAAATGGTCCAATCCTGCGTTTGCTTGGATGCACAAATATTTAAGACCACTGGAGCAGAATTTCCTGGCACCGATCACCGGGTAAAAAGGACCCAGATGGAGGGCTGGATCCTGGATGAGTCTTTAGTGTTCATTTCCAATCAGATAAATCTGATCCTGTTCTCAGTCTCCTACATGCAGGCACCGCTCACGTTATACAAGCTGATCTGAACAGTTACTGAAAAGTGTTATTATAGCATGCCCTTTTTTCCTTCAGGAAGAGCTGGGAACAGAGCAGAAAATTAGCCTGTTGAATTTATTTGTCTCTTATGAATCTAATTTGCAGGAAGCCTGTACGGATCACTTAGCAAGTTTTGGCGTAAATACTAACGTAGTTCCTCTTTAGCATAATCTGATGAATATAAAACAAAAAAATGATGATTCTCTTCTTTCACATCTCGCTTTCTGCCATCCACATACTGCGCATGCGCAAAAGCGAGCGCTTCTGTTTACAAACTTGAGCTTCCCTGTTGAATCGCCCGCAAACAAATCAGGAAAACAGAGACAGTTTACTGGATGTCCCTCCTGTGTTTGTGCAGCTGGTTTCAGGAGACGCACCAAGATTCACTCTAATCCACACGTTTTATTATTAAATGTAAAAAAAAATGTCTGCAACAACTTTTCCTTTGGACTTAGATTGGCTGCGATGCTGTCAATTTCCTTAATAAAGTTGAATTTAAAAAGACATTTGGATCAACGGTAATTTTCTACCTTCATCCATTAAAGACAAATGAACCCAAACAGCTGCAAACTAAAACCGTGAATTGGCCTCAGGGCAGAAAACAAAGTCTTAATGTTTGGAGAAATGTTTTGGGAGAGGTTACTGACCAGTCCACCAGCCCGTTGTCCCTGAGACTGTTCCTGGTTTCTCTGGTGATGTCCGGGGCAGCTGGCCACGGCGTGTGGCTGACGTTACCGTCTGAGGAACCCCCCACAGCCCCGGGGTTCTCCTGAGACAGAGCGTTCTCCAGAAGAGACGGCTGGTTGCTGAGCCTGGACTCAGACTCTGCTGTCCCGCTCACCGGCACGTCTACTCCTCCAAGTTCAAGGGGCAACAAACTATGAGAGACAATGGGACTGTTATTACAGCACATTATACCCCTGTCAACAAACTATTATCTATCTATCTATCTATCTATCTATCTATCTATATATATATATATATATATATATATATATATATATATATATATATAGAGAGAGAGAGAGATAGCTATTTATACATTAGTCAGTCACTATATTGCGGTTCACTTTTTGCAGCTTCACTATATCGCAGGTTTTTTTAAACAGAGTTTTATATATTGTGTGTACTGCACATGCTGTGCACTACTGTACATTCATGTCATCGTCATCATTTTCATTGTGATTGCCAAAGTGTTTAAGAGCATATCAAGTGTTTATAAGAGTGTGTGAAGGGTTTATGAAGCCTTAATTATATATACAGTGTTTCCCCTACCATTATACAAGCAGGGCGTCTCACCTACTGAACTGAACTGCTCGTCAAACCATACTCACGTAGCGCTAAGCTAGCGGCGCACAATACAGGTGCACTAGCTAAAATGCTAAACGCAGCACACACGCTGCCTCTTGCCTCATTTTCCACCCTAAATAGTAAAATTAATACAACACTGCTACTTTGCAGATTTTCACCTACTGCGGGGCTCTCTGGAACCTAACACCTGCGATAGGTGAGGGATGACTGTATATCTGACTGTATATCTATAGCAATGGCCTGGACAAGCAAAGACCTCGTATAACATTTGACCTTGACCTTAGAGCTGGGTCATGAAAAAGGTACTCCGTCTAGTGATGACTGACACATTTGTGTTTGAAGTTTTATTAAATTATCTTGAGCGGATCAAAAGTTATGGACGAGACAAGAGAACGCTGGATGGACGGAGACTTCCATTAAATGTCCGCCTTCGATGGACGTATAGAAAATCTGACACAGACATGAGTAAAACAAGAGAAAAGATTTAAATCAGTTATGAATGATTTACCCGTTGTTGCCAGCTGTGCGTGGTGAGGTCAGCAGATGCAGAGCAGAAGCGGCAGAAGCCATGCTGTCCGTTTGAAGGGCGGAGAGAGGCAGAGTCTCCAGTCCGGACACATGGCCCCTCTGGAGCTGCAGGGTCTGCGAGGCGATCTCCGGCATGTCCTGGGACAGAGCTGTGGAGGCCGAGGAGATGACGTCTGGGGAGCGGGCTCTGGTTGGAGAGGCCAAGGGTGGCAGGAGGGGAGAATCTAGGATCTGAGGGCTGTCGAGAGCCAGAGGACCCGTAGGAGAACCCAACGGCTGGAAATGAAGAACAACACGGTAATTATTAATGTTAGTCTGTTAAATGTAAATCCTGAGCCTTCAGCCTGATAAGTTTTTGGTTTGATCAGGAAACTTCTGCTCAAATATCCTTATTTATTTATTTTGTGGTTGAATGTAAACATACAGGAATGCTCTGAGAGAAAAGTGTTCATTTACTAACTGGCCACAGATAAAAGTGGAGGATTTTAAAACCCACACAGCTCTCTTTCAGGAAGACCTTATGGGCAAGAAACTCCTTTTTAAAATATAGTTACATGATTTTTTTCTTTCTGATTCTTGTGTGAAGCAAAGTTGTGACGTCCAACCCTACTAAAGAGTGATAAGAGGTTGGCGGGAGTGTGTCGGACCTTACCGGCAGGCTTTCCAGTCCGGGGAGCAGAACTGCAGAAGCAGCTCTGGGGCTGCTGGTGGAGGCCGAGTGTCCCAAGCTGCTGCTGCTGTTGTTGTCTCCTCTGCTGGGACTCTGACTGACGTCGTCCAATGCTCTGCACACAGGGACAGACATGAGTAAACACAAAAAAACAGCACCAGAGAAGTGGCTAAACACAGATTATCAGCAGAGCCTACGTGCAAAGAAAACGGTAAACATTTAAAACCAGGTCAAACGTGCAACAAGAGATTCAAGTTATACTCCAGAGTAAAAAGTTTACAGTGCAAAACAATATGAACTATTTTCCAACTAAAACTGGTATACAGAGGTCCCTCACTACTTTGCAGTTCGTTTTTCGCAGACTCGCTCTGTCGCAATTTTTCAAAGTAAGATTGGACATGACAACTGGCTGATTGAGGGATGAGCCGCACGATGGGCATGGAATTTTTATTTTAAATGAATTAATTTTAGGAGGAGAAGCTTCCTCCTGCAGCGGAGAAGTGGGCGTGGCCGAGAGCAGCTGGAGGCAGACAGCTGAAATCATGACATTCTGTGCTGCTCTTTTAGAGCGTTTAGAAACATTGATTAGAATATTGTAAGTGTGGGAAGGGTTTAAAACGCCCTTATATATATATATATATATATATATAAATAAACTACTACTTACTACTTGTACTACTATTCATACTTTACGTTTTTTTCACTTCTCGCGGGGCTTCAGGGTACGGATCCCCTGCGATAAATGAGGGACTACTGTAAATTAAAAATAGCTTCTTTATAGATTTATGCAGTCCAGTCAGGAGCTTTTTCCTTATAGGGACAAAGTTGGGGACTAATTGGTGATCAGAATGAGAACATATTTAGTGCCGAAAAACATAAAAAGAAAAATAGATCTCAATAGTGGGAATGATTTATGAACAGTCAAACAATTAAAAAAAACAGTTTGACATCTGTTCCGTTTTACTTCAAATGTGTACTCCAGCAAATTAAATGATGAATGTGGGGGCAGCTGCTGACATGTGTATAATGTGGGTGGAGGGGTGCAAGAAATTAATATACATGGTCTAGAATATTGTTCTGTTTGCAAAAACAAGCTTTGGTTTCAAATACTGGCATAAGAAAACTCAGCTGAACAGCTCGCTGTTTTCTCAGTTTTAAGTTGCTGACTAGTCTCTAAAGCAGGACTATTCAACTGGCGGCCCAGGGGCCAAATCAGGCCCACAGGTGAGCTCAGTTCAGCCCACCAATGGGTCCATATTAAAATAAAACTAGATTTTAAACCGTAAAACAAACTTAATGACAATAACTGCTGGATATCCAGCCCCTTAGCTCTTGGCTCTCACTAAATGTGCCCCACTGAGCAATTTAGTTGAACTGGCCTGGTCAAAAGGCTGCAGCCCGGTGAGGTACCACCCTGAACCAGACACAAAATCTGACCTGTTGGTGGAGTCTGAGTTGCTGCTAATGGCGGTCACAATGGTCAGGCTGCTAGCGCTGCTGCCAGGAGACGCCGGGACCTGGAGGATGACATGGGAAAAAGTTATGATGTGAGGCTAGGAAAAACACCTTTTAAGAGGTTTTAAACTAGAAACTAAGCACACTTAATCAAAAATAAAAACAAAATTTAAATGATTCCCTTTGATTAAAAAAAAAAAAAAAGTACAGTATACGACACATTATACAGAAACCTATAGGAATAGTCCAGACAAGCAAAGCAGTGTTTCCTCTACCATTATCCAAGGAGGGCACCCAGTTGAGCAGCTTAAAAGTTATGAGCAGGAAAAACGAAAGTTTACAGGCGGACCTAGACTGTACCATAACACCTCCGCCTTTCCACAGACCCTAATCTTGACAAATGATCATAAACCTAGCCCCCAACATCTGACCCTAGTCCTAATTCTTAATTCCTGCCCTGAAACCCAACCTTAAGTCCCATCCAGAGAGGCCTAAATGGGAGATGACGGTTGTTTGAGGAGCCTGACAGCACATGAACGCTGCTGCCTATTTATTAAAAGTCTGAATAATAATATTTGAAGTTCTATAAGACTTCACTTTTTACACACCAACACATTTTGTGTCTGTTTAGAGTTGCTACCAAAGATGGGAAGTGTTATTCTTTGACAGAATGTTGCTTGGTGACAAATTAAAATGTGCTAGGTCATAGCTTAATGTTTTTTCCTTCTTAATCTCTTTCTTTATATAAAAAAAGGGTCAGTACCGAAGTGCTCGGTGTCATGAAGGCATCTGGAGTCATTAGCTTGGGCATCGCTCCGCTGCCAGCCGCTGAGTTAGACAGGAAGTCAGAAGGAGCGGGAAGCGGCGGGATTTTCCTGAGGTCCGTCTGCGAGCCACTTCTGGATTCTTTATCAGAGCTCTGATCCGTGAGGTGATCTGAAAATGCTGCTGACACAACAGAACACAAAGGAAGGCTTCAGATGTGAGGCTAACGGAGGTAAAGATGCTACATGAAACACAGGAGGTAAAAAAACACTCTTCATGTGAGGAGCGGGACTCCATTTGTTCCAGTTTGTGTTTTCATCTTCTGTTAATGTCTGAGATTTACATACTGTGCACACTGAAATTGAGATATATGATTTATTCTGAAAGATTTTCAGACATTTTGCACTGTCACACTTACAAACTAAATACAACAACAGATTTGCAGCTGAAATAATCAGTGACTATGATTTGTCATTTGATTTTTTTTGATTTTTTACTTTTCCTGAAACTGTTAACTCACCCAAACCATCGTGGGAATCAGAGTGCGAAAGAAATCCTGCCGAGTTGGAACCCAAGTTAGGCTGAAACCAGATCTGGACATCCTGCAAACTCCTGAAAACACACAGGCAGAACAAACTGTGACCCCAGCTGGCTACGTCAGTCGTAATGAGTGCAGGCTGCAGTGCAAAAACCGTGAAAATATAGATTTTTGATTGAGATTTGCATGAAAATGAGTCCATAAAGACACCATCTACTTACACCTGTAACTAAAATAAAATAAATATTCCTAATCTACCTTTAAATTTATGTAAGCTTTCTAACAGCTACGTCTTCCAAAATATTCCTTTTAAACCTAACCCTTTTAATTTCCTTAAAAAAAAAAAATACAATTCTTCTTTGCCAGGAAATCCCTTCATATGTTTGGCATCATTGTGAAGCTTGGGATTACCCCTTTTTTAAACACAGGTATGGAGTTCTCTATGACATCATTCCAGACTAATAATAATTTTCTTTTCAAACCGGCATCTGTCGTCAGGTGATAAAATGTTTTGAAGCTTTTGAGATAAAGACATTTGAAAATACTGAGAACTCGATTTGGAAAAATTCTAGTTTAGAAAATTTAAACCAAACTAAAATCTGATTCACGTAGTTTATAAAAGGAATTATGTCTTATCTTAAAAGACTTAAAAACTTGGATGACCCTTAATTTTCTGCTTTTAAATTCAGACAAGACTGAAGTTGTGGTTTTTGGACCTGAGCATCTTAAGAATAAATTTTGCAGTCTTTCACTTTCTCTGGATGGCATTAATTTGGTCTCCAGTTCAAAAGTTAAAAACCTTGGTGTTATTTTTAATCAGAATGTCTTTTAACTCCTACATTAAAAAATTTACCAGAACTGCTTTCCTCCACCTGCATAATATTACTGAAGTTAGAAACACCTTGTCCAAAAATGATGCAGAAAAACTGGTTCATGCACTTATCACATCGAGGCTGGACTATTGCAACTGTTTACTATCTGGGTGTCCACAAACTTCCTTCAAGTATTCAGCTGATCCAAAATGCTGCTGCCAGAGTCTTAATGGGAGTTACAGTAGTAGGAGAGATAATGTTTCTTCAGTTTTAGCTTCTCTCCATTGGCTCCCTGTCAAATTCAGAATTGAAAAATCTTACTTCTAATCTACAAAGCTCTCAACAACCTAGCTCCATCTTATATTACTGATCTTATTGTTTCTTACTTTCCTAACAGAGAACTTCTCTCTCAGACTGCAGGTTTACTTGTGGTTCCTAGAGTTTCCAAAAGTAGAATGGGAGGAAGCTCTTTCAGTTATCAGGCTCCTCTCTTGAGGAACCAACTTCCAGTTTCTGTCCGTGAGGTTGACACATTGTCTACTTTTAAGATTAGACTTAAGACTTTCCTTTTTGATAAATCCTATAGTTAGGGTCGGCTTGGGTTTCCTGAGCTATCCTTTAGTTATGCTACTATAGGCTTAGTCTGCTGGAGGACAAATTGTCCACATTTCCTCACTCTGCTGCTGTCTTTACTCGCTCTACTCTACATGTTTGTATTTGTAATTATTTCCATCCTTAACATGTTTTTTTGTATTTCCTCCAATAAAATGTACACCTGGACCTGCCATTATGTGTTTGTTTCTCCTTCCTGTCCTCTTAAACCCAGCTGGTCGAAGCAGATGGCCGCTCGTCCTGAGCCTCGTTCTGCTGGAGGTTTCTTCCTGTTAAAAGGGAGTTTTTCCTTTCCACTGTTGCCATTGTGCTTGCTCAGGAGGGAAACTGTGATGAAGTGAAGATTCAACGCAATCTGTTGGCTTCCTTAGATAGATAACTTCACTAATTAGCTTTTATAAAGTATGGGAATGTTTCCGTACAGTGCCCTAAGATGACTTCTGTTGTGACTTGGCGCTACATAAATAAACTGAACTGAGTTTAAATAATCGGAGCTAAGGTGAATTTCAGGGCTGCAGATGTTGAGTGAAACCAGGTGTAGAGAAAATGTGAAGGTGCCTCAGAAACATTTTGTTTCAAACTCATCCATCCACCAGCCTGCTGTGTGAAATGTTTAAACAGCTGCAACAGTTAGCATTGCCTGCTTTATCTTCTTCTATCGTGTCCCTGTTTACTGCCATCAACAACACCAACATATTAATTCTGAAAAAAAAAATAATAATAATTCTGAGCAACCGTTTTATCTTGACAGACCACTGTAGCATCCTTTAGACTTATCTCTGCTGCCTTAATTCTATTGTAAAAACAGATTTACTCTGTTATTTATTTTTACATCCACACAAACTGATAACGAAAACTTACTTGGTGTGAACACAGTAGAGCTTAATCTGGATCCCAGATTTGGACTCTGTGGGTCCTTGGGTGCCCTCTGTAGGACAAAACACATAAAACAGAATAAGTCTATATATTTAATAGTTGGATTAGGATTTTGGAAACAACTGGCAGAGACGTGAAACTGCGAACAGCGGACAGATGCAGTCAACAGATTTTCTGCGCAACTAGATAAACAGTAACAATGTCGGATAGCGGAGTGCTGCTTGTGCTGCTCGCCCTTTTCAATGTGTAGGAGCGACCCAACCTCATCCTCGGACCAAACCGACATTCCCATGTTCACCATTTTGGATGCAACTGTTTGCATGCAGACTGACAGGTTGAAAGCCAAAAATCACAGCGCCAGCTAGCGCCGGGCCACGGAAACTAAAGCGGTTTGATCAATGTCCGCATATTCGTATGAACGTGTAACATTTCCCACAATCAACATCAGAAAAATGCTAATGTTTCCAGAGATCATTCACGTTAAATGGAATCTTACATCTTTAAAATGCTGTAATGAGAGAATTTCTCCAGAGCGAGATAAACTAAAATTCCAATTTCTACAAACTGCACAATTTTTTTGCTTTACAATGTATTTTAGGAAGATGAAACTTATTTCTGCTGCAAGACAATTAAAGTTTTCTTTCCTTAAATATGACTCAAGTTTAATTTTAAATATTGAATACTTATAAAAGTTGTTTTTTGCCTTACCAAAATATTTGCTGTTATATTAAACATGTCTGCCTTGTATGAACAAGTAATGTGAAAATAACACATTTTAAGATTTCTAAGTTTGTTTAAATGAGATTTAGCGTTTCATAATTTCCAAGACCCAGAAAACACTAAATCCCAAGTCCCAGACTTTTAAGGCTCTATGGGATCCTAATCTACAGAAAACCAACTTTCACATCAATGTTTTTAAGCGTTGCCCTGTTTCTGATAAACGTGATCAGGTCCGTTTGTGTGCACACAGCACCTGCTGACATGCTCTCGCTTTCCTCCTCTGCAGGGAGGACCTCGGTGTGCCGCAGTCGGCAGTGGGTGACGTCCCGGACCCCGAAGCTGAGCACAGGGTGGGTGAGCAGGAACTCCGACACCGCCGTGAAACTTGCTTTTCCCCTCTCCAGATCCTGTCGCAGCTCCATCACGTACAGAACCTGCCAGAACACAGAATCAGACATCAGAGACACAAAGACAAAAATTTAAAAGTGAACATTTTTAATCAATTTAAATTAGTCTGAACGCTCCAGAAGCACATCGGACCAACCTTTCTCTGCACATCTGTGAGAATCAGATATTCAGCAGAAAGATCCAAACTGGCCTTGAGACTTGGCAGAACCAATGAGGTCAACGGATCCGGAGAGAACCTAAAAGAACAAAAGCAAAAAGAAGCAGTTTTATCATCTTTGTGCGACAATCTAAATAAAAATGTATCAGTCACCAACTCCAAATCTCTTAATTTGAGGATAAAATTTAAATAAAATCTAAGACTTCTTTTTTTAGTTTAGATCGGAGCACTTTAGCCGTACAATCAGCAGCAAAATAATTCACCGTCTTGCAAAGATTTGGCCCGTTTGGGAATGGGAACATCTCCTGACTCAGTTCTCCAAAACTGGTTTGAAGAAACATTTACACTGATTTAGGTTTTTATAGGACTCAACAGCGCTAAAATAAAGCAGGTGCTAACCAAATCTTTGCAATTAAAAACAATAAAATAAATAAATAAAATATGTCAGATCTTCCATCTTCTAAAGCAGGAAACAGAGATGAAGTTAAAGTGATAAATAAAGGGGGATGACCTGATTGATTGTAAACAGGTCCAGGAAACGGTGCACCACAATTTCAGCTCCTGGTTCTGGTCTGCTCCGGTTATGAGAAACCTCCAGAAAGGAACTCTAGGAGAAGCAGCAGAAGTGATTTAAAAATAAACAGAAAACATGGCGTGCCTCAGATGAATGCGTTTCATGTTTTCAGCTGCACTGACTCTGGATCCTGCCTCTTGTGGTTGTCACAGAACAGAAGGCAGGACAGAGGACGTCCTCCGTGAGGCCGCAGTTCATGAAGACATCTGGACAGCAAATACACGAGTAAAAAAAACAAACAAACACTCGTGCACAAACGTTCCTCCCCGTCAGTGATCTCAAATGAGGATCTGCTCGCTCACCTGGGCTTGTCCTGTCCACCTTCTATGTAGATCTGCCAGAACTTGATGAACCCATCATGGCTGGCCGTGGCCAACACCGTTCCATCAGGAGACAATGCTCCTTCGCTGACTCGCTGGAGGAGCAGACGTTCAACAAGAGCACCGCACACGGCACATTTTACACCCATCAACTATTACACAGCAATGACCTGAATATCTACAAGCAATACGAATTTTGTGCAACTTTTTTTTCATAAATCCTGACTCTGAAATGATGAAAAAAATCTTTGCAGGCTGTAGTTTTGTGGCTACACGACAGATGCAACATTTATCACATCACCAACACAAGAAACTAGTCAGTCCCCAACGTGGTCTACGATCAGAGACCACAAAGCCACATAATGACTGATTAGGCCTTAGTTTATTCTAACTTCATTATTCTTGCAAATCTTGGTCAACATGTACATCCCGTCATCCATTTCCCACGACATCTGCTGTTAAATTTATAAAGCACATTCATTTTTATTCAAGTTTTGTTGGAACATGTACATGTGAGACAAACAATCCACAGCTGTTTCTTCTGAGGCAGGCTGGATAACTTCCACTTGCTAAAAGAGAAGAGTTCGAGACTCCATCTAGTGGTGATGCATTACATGTGTCAAGTTTTGCTAAATTATCTTGAATCAGGAGACGTGACCTGGAAGGGCAAAGACTCAGATTTGTCCGACTTTTGACGGGCGTATAACAACACCACATACAAAAATAAAACTGATCACGCATGAGGAAAAACTACCTAAAACATCAACTATACCCCACCACCACCATCCAGATGTCTGCAGACAGGAAGTGACCTCGCTCTCTGCGTAGATGTGGTGAGATAATCTTAAACACCTTAACAACAGAACCCGAACACACCAGAGCTTGTGTTGTTTTCAATTAACAATGAAATAATTTCTGAATCAGTGGTCCACAAACTTTTCAGCCTTTAAATCGCAAAATAAAATCCAAGAGACTCATGACTACTGATAGTTTGAGTTAAATGATAGTATGAATTATACAAATGCTGCTTTTTTAACGACTAAAGGCTTGTTTTTATCCTTTTATGATGACGGTTTTCACACTTTTTGAACAGTCCGTGAAAGTTTATTATAAAGTTGATTTGATTTCAGGATGACTAGTTAACTTCTGGTCAAAGAACACGATGGTCATAAAATAATCAGATTCAACTAATTTAATTGATTACTTCATCACTATTTAGCGTTGTGTCTGATTGTCTCACACTAAGAACAATGACCATATTTAGTCCGGCCCCTACTTCCTAAGAACAGATACAAAACATGTTAATTTAAAAGTTCGTTTTTGTTGCCATTTGACAGTTCTTATTCCTCATTCAATTAAACTATACACATTTCCCCAGCAGACAATTTATTGTCCTTGGAGGACAGACTGATGGGAAACAATGTTTCCTACCTTGGTGTGACCCTTGATTGTGATGAGACCTTCTTTGAGCTCAGTGACATCAACAGGCCAGCTGCTGTTGTTGGCTCTCAAGATCTCCAGATCCCAAACTTCGGCCTGAACAAGAGAAGGTTTGAAATTAAACACGTTTCTTTCTTCTCTTGCAACAATTCACCCTAAAGATGATTTCTGCTTTTGATTCTAAGGTTGGTGTGGATCTTCCTCCTTTTCTGGGACTTCTCAGTTTAGTGTAAGCCTCAGGTACCCTGTCGTCATGCAGGAGGGCCAGAGTCTGGCTGATGTCGTCCTGGTTCTCCTCGTTGTCATCCAGGATGAACGGACACCACACGAGGCGGCGGTGGGAGTTCAGCGGGGTGTCCTCTGGCCGTTGGACATCAACCACTATCTGATCTCTGTGGGGAGCTAGAGTTAGGGACAACTGAGGAAAACAAGAGCACCGCATACGGCACATTACCTGTCGACAAACGGTTATTCAGCAGTCGATAGCAATGGGCCAGACGAGCAAAGACCTTGATTTGTGACCTTGGAGCTGGGGTAATGAAAGGACTCTGTCTTGTGATGATGCATACGCGTATCCAATTTCAATAAATTATCTTAAGCGGATCAAAAGTTATGGGTGGGACAAGACAGGGTTCCCTGCATTTCATGGAAACAAAATTCCCTGAGATCCTGATGCATGCTCAATTTTCCCTCAAAATTCCCTGAGTAAATCCAGAAATTCAAAAAGATATTTTTGTCACATGAAACGCTCAGAACTAGAGTAGTATATGGTATGGTAATCGTTCCTAATAAATTATTTTATTTTTTAACCTAAGATACTAAAAGGCCACCATAGCCAGTCCGTAAGGATACATGTATACACTGTAGAAGCAGAACATGGATTCAATACTAGAATATTAAATTAATACATTTACTAGAGCCTAACAGATATATCAGTAGGGCAGATGTTTTAGGTCAATATAAGCATTTGGGGACATATCAGTATTGGCGATAAATGTCCCATTATATGCTGATATAAGCACTTCTACCGTAATTTTCACCCCTAAAATGCTGGGAACCAGCCGTAATTGTACAATGTATCCAGCAGAAGACGAACGAAGACTACTTTCAAGTCATTGCCATTCACTTAAGTTCCAGTTTCATATTCAGCACAAATGAAGCAGGGAGCAATACTGTGCTACATATTTTGCTGAACATGGTAGGTTTACTTTAACTGATCTGTAAAATAAAAAAAATTAACAATAAAAAATTATCTTCAATCCTCCAACCCGCTGGTCATTAGCTACCTGCCTCTCAAGTTCGCAAGCTAATGTTTAGATAACTTAGCGCAGGCTATTTCCTTGTAAAACTTTATCCAGAACAATACATTTAACGTAGAGGCAAAATATATATGTGTTAGTAACGTCATCTTTGTCGTCCTCAATTAAATTCTTTGTCTGAAATCTTTACTTCTCTGCAAAGAAAATATAATAAAACACTGCTGCTGTCAATACTAATTAGGCCTTCACCCCACATGACTGACCGTTTAAACAATGAACAGGGAAGGGTGTTTCTTTGTTTAATTTCTATTTTAGTAACACACTTGATAACTTTATGGTGAATAGTGGAGGACAGAAAATGTGAACGCAGGTTAGAAAAACTGAGTGTGGGACTACATTTAGTGTGGATCTGATTAGCTTAGCTTCATGGTTGATAACAAGTGTGCTAAATAAACAAGCCCCACTCCACTCGCTGTTTTCTTAGATTCTTGGGGGTGGACAAAGCTCAAAAATGGTCAGCCATTATGTTGGTTATCGGCGGTCGCCTTCCTCTCCCAATATCGGTATCGGCGATAGCCAAAATTTCTATATTGGTTGGGCTCTAACATTCACAAGTCAAAATCTCAGAAAGATCAACTTTTAATCAGAAGATCAGCAATAAAATTCTCTGAGATTTCCCTGTCTGGAAAATGTGAGTCATTTTTCAGATTTTGACCGATTTCCAGAGTTGTTTTGATCCCTGCAAGAGAAAAATTGCACATGTAGAGACAATACCATCAAACCACCGCCTGTAAAGGATGTACAACAAAAAACAGAAAAGGTGAAGGTTAAACGTTGGCCATTAACCAAACCCAATTTGGGTTGTACCACGTGGTTATCTGAACCTAGAACCCGTGGCTCTACAGAATTTCTGAGGTGGCTCCTTGTAACTTCGATCAAAGCCGACACGAACCCGAGTCATTTTTAGATTTAAACTGATAAAAAAGGGTTAATTGTAGCATTTAACCCATCCAAATTTTTTTGCAATATGTGCAAATTTCATGCAGCAAAATAAAAAAATAAAATAAAAAAAGAGACAAATATGTTGCATGAATAGACATTTAAACCTAACTGCAGATGCTTTACATCATTTCTGTGCCAGATTTGGTTAAATTAGGATTGAGTGCTCCCTGAAACAGAACAGTTAGTTACCAAAGAACAAAACTTTTCTCTAAATCCAACAAAATCTGAGTTTTTTCAAAACACTTGAGATGGTATGGTAGATTTTAAAGTAGCAGAACATCTAACGGCAAGTTATTTTTATAAAGAAACAAAAAAAAAAGCCTGAACTGGTAAATAAAGACCAAAACACTCATGTTCTGTTTGATGTTTGCTCTAGGCAAGATTCTATTTTTAAACAATTTTCTACAATATGAGAAAAACTGAAAAAAGTTTTTAAAAAAAGTTTGTTTTTGTAATTTTTCTATTTAGGACTGCATTTCTTTTTCTTTTTGCCTAAAAAAATAAAATACAACGTCAATGCAGATTAGAATGGAATAAATAAACTTACAAATGAAATGTATGACTTTTGCAACGGCTCTACAAACATTTTATTTAGCAGGGGAGATGAGAAAACCTCTCTCTGGGTGGTGAAGGTTGCAGACTGCTGAGCTAGAAGAACCTGCAGAGATGATTTATGATGGGGGTCCTAACACTCAGACCCAAACATCCTCCCATCTGACTTTTAACTTTTTTCTTTTCAGGATACAGGATTTTGTTGCCGGTGAAAGTGAGCTGCCAAACCATCAGGTTTCCCGCCTCGTCAACGCAGCCCAGCAGAGATGAGTCGAGGTGGGCAAAAGCCAGATCTGCGACGGCTCCCCTGAACCCCTTCAGCAGGGTGCGCTCGTTAAAGTCCAAACTCAGAACCCGAATCATGGCGTGGTTATTGGCTCCTAAAAAGAGGAAAAATGTTATACAATCAAAAAACTTTATCTGAATTTAACAAACGACGTGTCCTCGTAGACATGTAAAGTTCTGCAAAGTGCTTTACTATCTGCTTCTCATTCACCCGTTCAATAGACTTCTACTACGTGTGCATTTTATGCACATATAAATTTATACTCGTCAGCCAATTTATTATGCCCACTTGTTCAACCGATTCTTAACGTAGGGCAGCAACTGAACGCCTTTAGGCATGTAGATGTGGTGAAGACGCCCTGCTGAAGTGCAAACCGAGCATTAAAATGAGGAAGAAAAGTGATTTAAGTGACTTTGAATGTGGCGTGGTTGTGCCTGAAGTAGGTCTGAGTATTTAAGGGATTTTTACACACAACCATCTCCAGGGATTACAATGAATCGTCCACAAAAGAAGAAGAAAAAAAAATCTAGTGAGCGACATTGTGCAGTAAAAGCTTTGTTAATGTCCGAGGAGAACGTGCAGACTGGTTTCAGAAGACAAACTCAGAAGCAGCTCAAACGACCACTGATTAAAAACAAAGACCTGCAGAACACCAACCCACTCCGAACGGACAAGAACCCTGAAACAGACAAGCCGCAGCAGCATCAGACCTCATCAGGTGCCTCTCGGGTCATAGAAGAACAGGAAACTGACACAAGGCTCACCAACACTGGACAACAAGACTTTGTTCACACTGCAGCTCTAATGCACAGTTATGATATTTCTGACATTTCTGTTTTTACATTATCATTTAAATACAACCTCCATCAGACTCCCATTTACAGTTCTGAGGCAACCCGCATGTGTAGAAGACGACGTGATGTCCCACACAGCACCTTGTGTTAAAGGACGGAAAATATAGATGCTACACGTTAGTATTTGTGATTCTGAAGTTGTTGTGCGATCAGAATCAAATTATTAGACATGCTTGTTTGGTCCAATGTTCACAGTTAATCTGGTCTCTTGATGGTTCCACTGGGGCAGCGTTGTATTTTTTGGAACGGGAGCGACGTAAAGAAGGTAGAAACAAACTCAAGCATCGATCTCATCATATTAGCATCGATACGGTCTTAAGCTATTGTTAGCATCATCTGTTGCTGTAGATTCTCAGTCAACCAGGACGTGAGGCATTCAAAGAACAAAGATGAAGCAGCTGGACTTTTGTTCTGTAGCTGAAGATGTGAGGAGTTTCTAGCTTTAAACTACACAAGGTTGTTATCGTTATTATTAATACTTAGATCGATCCGCTTACCCCAACATCACTGACTAAGAGACAGACAAAATGAGACATGAACGTTCAGACTGAGACCGCTTTAAAAACAGCTGATGTTTCCAGTTCAGTACCAAATATGAAAAAGACCTGGGTCAGATTAGAAAAAATACATAAATAATATTAATAAACTGGATTTGTCACGTGAAAAGATCCGATATGAGTCGCATTTGCCCGCAGTGTGAACGTAACCCTGAGACTGGAAAAATATTTCCTGGTCTGATGAGTCTGGATTCACAGAAAGCCAGTGGTCTCCACAAGCACCAGTTCTCAGTCCAATCAAGACATCTGGGATGAGTTGGAACAGGAGACGCACATCATGAACGTTCAGCTGATAAATCTGAAGCGACAGCGTGATGCCGTCATGACAATATGAACCAAATGTTTCCAACAACCTGTTGAATCTGTTGTGGATAATAAGGCAGTTCTGTGGGCAAAAGAGCATCAAACCCAGTACTAGCAAGGAGAACCTCATAAAGTGGTCATGTGTGTTTATAGTCAGGTGGAACGGTAAAAGTATTCCAATTACAAATTTACAATACAGGCCTCTGGGTTTGACTCGCACATGAAAAGAACAAATGCATCATCAGAAAAATAAAACCGGCAGAGCAGACCTGAAGTAAAACTCGTGACGTGACTAGATCCACTTTATTAGTTTTATTTTAACTGATTGTTGTGGCGTTTTAAAAACATGGTTTCTGCAACTTTCAATGAATAAAGACGTAAGGATTCTAATTTAAGATAAAACATAACGAGCTATTGTAAGATTTCTTTTAAAATAAACAAATCTGATCACCATTCAACCGAAATCATTTATAAAACTACTGTCCGTCAATAAATGCCTTCAGACAGGACCGTTGCATGATGGGACTTTTAGATTTGTTACGGCGCAATAACATATGAGAGCTACAACATAAAATGAATGTTAGCATAAAAAAAGGTTGTAGGAAGAAACAAGGACTGAACACTCAAAAATAAGACGCATAAAAATGTATTTGATCACATAAAACGGACAAATTTAAGATTTTAAGCTCTAAATTTAAGAATAATAACTTTAGATGTTTCTAAGACCCTGCAGAAAGCTTAAAACAAGTATACAAACATCCTAACGGTTTGTGTTCGTTTGATTCTGTCTGAAATGACACGTCCTGCAGGTTTCTCACCTTTAATGGCATAAGCCACAAAGGAGTTGGACACGGCTATCAGCCTGCCGTAGTAATACTTGTGCTCCCAGTCGTATTTGGCGACAGTCTGAATCTTGACCTGCATTAAAAACAAACTCGGTTAGAAAAATATACAAATGATTTCTTATTGAGGTTAAGAATTATTTCTCTCTACAAAAAAGCCGTTTCTGGTTGCTCACCTGGTTGCTCCCTCGCGCCTTGCTGTTGATGCTGGAGTCCTGACTCGCCACGATCTCCACGTTGCTGGAGGTGATGGGAATGCAGGTGGTTCCGTTGTCACCATTAAGGCAGCTGAAAACACAGTGCATCAGTCTGGTTTATAAAAAAATGTTCTGTTGAGGGGGTTGGATTTATGAGCTCTACTCACATCCTCTGGCTCTCCTGAATGCTGCTTATGTCCGTGGAGATGGGTCTGGTAGATTCTGACATGGATGGCCGATCGGTGCTTCCTAGCAGGCCCGTTCCCAGCAAACCGTTCAGCTCTCCATTAAAGGAGAGTTTTCTCTGACCGTCACCCGGCTGAGCGTCTGAGGAAGATGGAGGGGAACGTTTTTAATAAGATTTTAATAAAGAGCCAACTGGCTTCATTCTGTTCTGAAACATGCTCTAAAGGAATTATGTCAATATGAGGCATGAGTTTTAGCTCAACAAATGGGTGTTCCCGTTAGCAAAATATCTCCTGGACCAATGTAAACATGTGAATGAAGATTCAGTGTACAGGAGATGATTTTAAAAGCATGTCTTGTACACTACATGTGAATATCTTATAAAAGAGTTCAGCAGCAGGGCAGCTATTTTAGTAATCACCTGGGAAATTAATCATGTCCAAAAGAACTTAAAGAGGAAAATTACTTGGAGAAAAATCATATTTTCTAAATATACTCTGAGGATCAAGCTGAAAGACAAATGACCAGCTTCTAAATTACCAAAAGCTAAAAAATGATGAATATATCCAATGTTTGACTCAGTATGACTTAAAACACTGTTAACTAGTTCACTAACAGTTTGCAAAAAGTCCACGTGGTTCTGAAATATGATGATTTTAAAGTAAAATTCAGTAACAACTCATTAAAAAAACAAGAGATGCTAAAGCATGAAATAAGGGTACAAAATAAAGTACCAAAAAGTGAAAAAGAAATAGCAGATAATTTATTATACCAGTACAGTGCCCTGAGATGACTTCTGTTGTGACTTGGCGCTAAATAAATTTAAAATAATTAATTGAACACACACACACACGATAATTTATCCTGACAGTGTGACAAGTGTATGTCAGAAGACACAATGATGAAGTAAACTAAGATCTTACTCTGTTTCAAAAGAGTCAAATTATTGGTCTCGGTAGGGCTGGACGACATTATCGATATTAAAAAAATATCGATATAATTTAATTTGCGATATAAAATGAGACGATATTGATATAAAACGATATAGTCTTATACTCTACCTACAGTTAATAAATCTGCCAGTTTTTTCCTCCCAGTCACCTTAATGCATGTGTCAAACTCAAGGCCCGGGGGCCAAATGTGGCCCTCAACATCTTATCTTGAGAATGTCAAATGAGTCAAACTTGACTTAATGTAGATTCTGAAACCAGCCCTTACTTTGAAAAAGGTTTTAATCTTGGCCCCCTTTTGTAGGTGGGACACCCCTGCCTTAATGCCACCCCTCCTTTTCCCTCACTCGAGTACTAAGCGGCCCCTCCTCCGTCGCTTGCAGCATCTGAAAACTATTTGAATTACAAAGCTGAGCTTCCCCAGATACGCAGATATCTTTGTTGATTCACAGTGGGAGAACTGATAGGTGTTAAAATGACTGAGTAGCTGCTACAAAGCAGAGGTTTGGTGTTCTCCAGGAAATGTAACTGTATGAAGTTGTCTTCTCATTAAAAAACATGGAGACAAGTTTAGGGTGAGAGGAAAAAAAAACCTCCAACTGAGCTCTGCACTTTCAGAGTCGGAAGCTTTGTTAATAAAGGTTGAATGAATACACTTCATTAGAATCAAACTTCAGATTTATTAATAAATCAGGGTGAAATACTAAAAACAAGAACATATTTTCTTTGATTTTCTATGGACATTATCAAATGTCTTGAAACTTGTATTTGTATAAGTAATAAAAACCTAAAAAAAACCAAAAACTTAAATATATGTAAATAGTTTATTTTTTAGACATTTATTTTGTACAGTTACAGCTGTTAATAAATGTGCCTGTGTGACAACTGGGACAAAGTTTTGACTCTGAAATCTATTTTTGTTATTACTTTATGGAAAGGAAAAAATATTGATATACATATATTGTAGATCGCGATTCATCTTAAAATATCGAGATAATTCATTTAGGTCTATATCGCCCAGCCCTAGGTCTCAGTCTGCATCAAATTAAACTACCTAAAGAATCGTATGAAATTATTAAATTAGATTAGAGGAGTCAAACATTATTAAACCTGGAAAAAGTTCATTTATGAATCACTATTTTTCAGGAAGAATTATGGTCAAGGAAAATGTTTTTTGATCGTTTGTCAAATCAGGTGGACTTTTGGTAAAATCTTTAAGCAAAATTCACCTTTCAGTTCAGTAATAGTTTAACTTATCGTATTCAAAAAAATAAATAAATAAATAGTGTGTTGGCACAAAGAAAAGATCTCACTGGGCTGTAACTGTTGGAGATGAGGTAAAGACTCAAAATGCAAATTTTCAGCTGCAGTCTCACTGAAAAGTATTTTCAAACAATGAACCTAGTTCGTGCTTTTTTGGGTCCACTTGTTAAAAATCACATATTTTGTGTGCACAACTTGCAAAACTGTTATTTTAGGACATTATTCTGTTGCCCCATGTCATACCCATCTCTGCAGCCACCTCCATGTTCACGACGTACTGGTAATCTACTGGATTATTACTTTTTGTAAATGAAGATAGCTCTTGAGATAGATTTAAACACAACTCTGTGACTACCGGTATTTTAGGACAAAGATTACTGCAATTTTTTTTTAAATGTTCAAAATTCAAGCTTTTAACTTGTGTGCCTCTGCAACTCACAACAGGAAGTTGAGAAAGTCCTGTGAATGTTATAAGACAGAAGAGATAGTGGCTTGAACAGCCACATAGCTTTAGTCAAATCATCATCAGTGAGAAACGTTCTTTTAAAAAGGTTTAAATTTGCTGGAAAACAAAGCAGTAGTTCAAGCTTTAATCAATATTTGATTAAAAAAAAAATTAATCAACATCCTGAGATGAAGCTCTTCAAAACAATTTCCATGCTGCTTCAACAGTAAAAATTTTAAGTGGTGCTTAAAGCAGAATTAGAATTTAAAATATTGACAAAAACATCTAACAGTATAATGACAACGGTAAAATCATGTGTAAGCCTGGAGCGACCAACGGTAATACAACATCTTGTATAAACTCGATAAAAGAAACTGATCTCTGGGGAACAAAGATTGAACTTTGGAGCAACAGAAAAGTGTCAGAAGCTCTGATGAGTTCAGGTGTCCCTGATGAAGAAGAGATGCTCCATGTTGAAGCTTCGAGCCTGTAATCTGGGCTCGTTTTAGTCGGTCTACATTCAGCAGCATTACACACCTCAGCAACAAAAACAAACCTGCCTAAATGTGTTGAATGGTCAGGCTTTACATCAAGAAATTCCTTCTACCAATGCCAAAATTAACTGGGCTCAAACTGTGAAACAGTGGCTGAAGCAAGCACGAGATATAGTAGTCCCTTGCTACTTCGCAGTTCAACTTTCGTGGACTCACACTATTGCGGTTTGTTTAAGTACAGTACAGTACATAATATTTTCAAAAAAAATTTTGAAAAAATGCACCGCCATTTTGTAGTTTTCTTTCATTAAGCCTTCACTGTCTTGCCAGTCTAAAGAACTACGTTACCCAGAAGCCATCAGTTCACTTCCGAGAAGTCAATACTGCTTCCAACCGCAGCTTGCTGCAAACGGAGGGAAAGTTTTGCAACCAAAGTCAGAAGTAACAACAATAAGCTCACAGAACTGGCAGGAGGAAAGCATCAAATAATTCTGAAGCTGAACTCATCCTTAAAGTTGTATCTTTGCTGTAGCTGGGCTGCAGTTGATCTGGACTCGGTGTGATCCGAATCCTGGGAGCTGCAGGGAACAGACGGCTGCAAGTTTCAGCCTGGTTCTGGTCGCGCAGCGTTGGTCCAGACCGGGCCAGAGGTAGTGGACTAAATGGGCAGCCTTGCTCCTGCAGCAGTAGTGGTGGGCTTCAGTCATGCAACACTGGGACTGTTTTTCATCCATCAGGTCGGACAGAACCGAGCCGCTCCTGTTCTGCAGAGCCCTTGTAAGTAAAATTTTGTAGCTCCTGTACATATAAGTACTGTATGTTGTTAAAATTAGTAGGTTTAAGAGTTTAGAGGACTGTCTGTGGGCTTCATTGCTGCAGGATAGGTCTGCAGAAACAAACCAAGTCAGAACAGAGTTGGACCGGAACCAGAGCTGTTGCTGTTCTGCAGAGCTAGTAAAATTTAGTAACATATGTTGTTAAAATGACGTAGGTTTAAGAGTTTAGAACATTCCAAGAGTGTGGGAAAGGTTTCTAAAGCCTCAATATAAAGTTTACTGTACAGTTCAACTTGCACTACTGTATCCCTACTCCACGTTTTTACACTTATTGCGGGGCTTCAGGGTACAGCTCCCCCGCAATAAACAAGGGACTACTGTATTTTCAAATAAGGAGTGACCACCTCAACCTTAATACTATGCACAGTTTCTGGTATGCACTGAAGAGGAGATGTTCCTCAGCGGTCTGGTGGAAACCATCACATTCATAAGTTTACAGAAATAAAGCCATGGAAGCACACGTCACAACCAAAAATAATGTTTTTTGTTGATGAGGCAGGTTGTCCTTTAACAGTTTGCCACTTAGTGCATATCATTTTATTTTACACAATTAAAGTCCAACACAAATTAAAAAAAAAAAAAAAAAAGATTAAATTAGTTTGTAAATAGTCACTAGAACAGCAGTTTCAGCAGTTATTGCTGGACCCCAGGGCAGCACAGTGGCGCAGTTGATAGAGCTGCTGCCTCTCAGCGAGAAGGCTGCCCCAGTTCAAATCCCGGCCCAGGACCTTTATGGGTGGAGTTGGCATGTTCTCTCGTGCATGTGTGGGTTTTCTCCGGGTACTTCAGTTTCCTCCCACAGAGCAAAAACATGCATATTAGGCTGATTGGTAACTCTAAAGGCTCCAGTATACTGCCGCATATGTCTGTTCACACGTACGTACACGTGTACGGTACGCAGAAGGTTCAGACTTCATACTCCAGCGTACACCCCGAGCAGCTGCAGAGCAGCTTCACAGACAAGGGGCGTTTACCTTTGGGACAAATTGATGTCGCCGACTGGTCATTTGCTGACACGCCTACTGGATTGATTGACAGGTCGGAGAAAAGAAAAAAAAAAAGCGAGCGCTGGCAGCCTCCGCCGCAGCGGTGTTCTGTGTTTATATGTTGTTAATAAAAAGATCTAAAAAATAAAAAAAACGGAGAGCTGGCTCTACAACCCACACATCAGACCAGCCCACCAGGAAATCTCCAGACCCTCCCGCAGCCACGCTGGACCTGAGTTTAATTCGCTTGTGATAAATTCCTTCATTTCTCACTATTTCAGTCAAGGCATCAACGGAGGAGGAAGAGATCACTGCCTCTTGGCAAAAAAACAAAAGAAAAGGCCAGATCAGGGATGAAGAAGGGGAATTTAATACATTGGTGTCGCATACAAAACAGTCAGTCACTGGGCAGTTTATTGTGCGACACCGCGTATGCGTATGCAGTCGTAAAAATGTGAGCTTTGCACGGAGGGTACGCACGTACCTCTGCGTAAGTACGTGCATACCTCTGCGTATGGATGTACGTGGCAGTATACTGGGGGCTTAAACGGTCCCTAGGTGTGAGTGAGAGTGAATGTTTGTTTGTCTCCATGTGTCCCTGTGATGGATTTGCGACCTGTCCAGGGTGTCCCCCGCTTCTCGCACAGCGACAGCTGGACATGGGCACCAGTGACCCCGTGGCCCAAAAAAGGAAGAAGTGGGTAAAGATGATGGATGGATGAATGGATGTTGGACCCCAGTGTATGTTTATGAAACATCCAGTGTGTGGTCTTCAAAAGGGCTCTATATGAATCCAGTTAATGTAAAAATGATTATAATCAGAATACCCAGCTTTAAATATTATAAATAAGTAAAAAATATTGGTAATAAAATGAGCCTTCTTATTAAAATTACTTATTAGTGATAATTGTATGTTTCTACCACCAGCTAGGAGTAAAAAGTCTCATATTTTTGTGACGAAAGCTATTAAAAAAAGACAGAAATCCTAACTCCATATTGTAAAAAAGTTTGGAGTATTTCTAACAACAACTTCCCCTAAATGGTTAAAGTAGCTGTTAAAGTGATTCATACTGCATATATTGTCTAAATGTCTGAGTATGAAAGCTTTAAGTACAACAAATATATAAAAAACGCGCTTAACTTCTCCACGGTTTCTCTGGGAGCAAACTGCTCCAATAACATGATTTCTGATAATTAATAATATAGACAAATGTTTAAGAAGCTAAATGACAATTAGTCTAGATAAAACTGGACTTAAAACAAAAAAACGTGGTATTTTCCTGAAGGCTAACTGCAGACGACACAGATTTTCTCCAGACACGGGCTAACGACGCAATCAGCGCCAAACACAAACTAATCCGCTTCTCTGCGAACATTAGTGTGAAAATATTCACTGATATTTCACAAGCTGCCCCGGGAGCGGTCTTTAGGCAGGAAACCTGTAAAACAGCGGCGGGAGTTTTCTGTTTTTGGTAAATAAGACATTTGTGGATGTAGCATGCTAGCAGCCAGTTAGCCTCCGCGCGGCCTAACAGCGCAGCCACTTTTCAGACCGACTTACCGGCGCTGCTCCCGGCTCTGTCGAGCTTCAGGATGTCCCGGAGGTGCTGGGTGGCACCCTCTATATCCATGTTAGAGTTCGACGCCATGGGCAAGGGAAAGGGGAGACTGGGTTAACACTGTAAGGGGAAAATTATTTTGGTATGATGAGACGCTGTCACCATTCACCAACAGCAACCGGCTAAACTTCCGGTCTGTCCGCACCCCTTTGCGTTCCGTCTTCTCAGTGTGTGAAGTCTTCGTTCCCACCTAAAATTGGAAACTTTACAAATTTCACTAAAATGTAGACAATAAACAAACACATTGTTTACTGTTTTTGCAACCTAACTACTTTAGCATACTTTCCTATTTTAGCTATTTATACATGCAAACATTCAGCTCATTCAGTGGATGGCATACTTTCCTATTTTAGCTATTTATACATGCAAACATTCAGCTCATTCAGTGGATGGGTGCTATGACTTCTAGTTTTTGGTAACACGTACTTTTAAAACTGTTTATGTACAAATATTAACACTTATAAAAACAGTGAGATCTATTTAATTCTTTTAAAATCATTCTTCTGTCATAAATCTGCTTCATCGCTTGCTCTCAGCATCCTGTTTTTGTCTTGTTGTTAAAGAGGCCAGGGTCTGACCCCTTCAACCAGTAGTAGCAATTCACAACCATATTGAAATCAACCAGCAGTCTCCTGTCGTGGATCCAGTCATTTCCAAAAGGTCTAAATCCACCTGTGATACTGACTCATAACGAGCAAGCTTCAAACTGCCATGAAAAACAAGCAGGCTTACCAGACAAGTAGGACTTTAGCTTAAAACTGAATGAGAAGAGGCAGAGAAACGGCTGTTCACCGCTGACTTAAGGGTCCACGCACCGCCATTTTGTAGTTTGTAGCCTTGATCAGAGGTCAGCGACCCCTCAGGGCCCACGGGCCAAGGGACGCCCGTGGACCCTGAGGGGTCGCTGACCTCTGGTCAAAGCCAGCACCTCCATTGAGCCTGGCCGTAATTCTTCAAACTCTGCGCTGAAGGCTTTCAGGTGCAGCAGGAAGGGTGAGGCTCTAAAGCCCCAAGTTTAGCTCAGCTTGTGCATTTTCAAGCTACACAAACAAAATTGGTAGAATAAATACAAGTAAATAATGTAGAAGGACTTAGGAGTCACGCAGGAGCCACAATTCAGGTTTTGTGCTTGCCGGCAAAACTCGATTAAAAGTAAAATAAAAAAATCTCATCTTTTTATGACCAACTTTGTTATAATAATAATAATAATAATAATAATAATAATAATAATAATACTTTATTTATAAAGCCCTTAAACAACCACAGCTGCAACAAAGTGCTGTACGTAAAAATGAGAACATTTAAACACATAAAAGAATAAAACAGTTGTTACAACATTAAGATGATTCATTTCATCTTTCAGTCTGTGCCAAAATTCAATTCAGTTCAATTCAATTCAAAAGCCAGGGAGTAAAAACAAATTTTTTAAAAGAGTTTTAAAAATGGACTGTAAGGGGCTCGTCAGATGGGAAGAGGGAGATCGTTCTACAGTCGGAGGAGCTACAAAAAGCTCTGTCCCCTCTGAGCCTCCGTTTGGACTTCGGCACCTCCAGGAGCAGCTGATCAGCTGATCTGAGGCACCGAGCAGGATCGGTGAAGCAACTCAAGAGAGGTAGGATGGAGCAAGACTATTTAAACTTTTAAAAACAAATAAAATAATCTTAAAATGAACTCTAAAATGAACAGGCAGCCAGTGGAGTGAAGCCAGAGTGGGGGTGATGTGCTCCCTCTATGAACTCCAGTTAGAAGCCGAGCAGCAGCGTTCTGGACCAACTGGAGACGTCTGAGGGAGGACTGGCTGATGCCAAGGTAAAGAGTATTACAGTAATCCAGCCGAGAGGTGACAAAAGCATGGATTACTGTTTCCAGCTGCTGTTGTGTGAGGATGGGCTTTACCTTAGTCAGAGTCTGAGGTGATAAAACTGGCCTTGACCACCGCTCCAATCTGGGACTCTAATTTAAAATCACTGTCCATTTTAAAACCCAAGTTAGAAACTTTTTTTTTTCTGTGGTGCCAGAGGACCCAGATCAACAGGGCAAGGTTCACAGGACCAAACACCATCACTTCTGTTTTCCTTTCATTAAAAATTAAGAAGTTTAATGACCATCTCATTATCTCCACTTTGGCTGAAACTGATGGCTTACAGAATTTACAGCTACTCCTTCCCATCTGGTTACAGCTGCAGCAGAGAGTAACAGAACTCTGTTAACTCAGGGGTACATTGGACCCATCCATGGATCTGGTATGATCCAACACGACGAGTGGTACCAATAGCTCAATCTGAGATCAGTCTTTGATAATACACCAATGGGCCAATAATGGTTCAGTCACTGGTTGATTACATCCTCAGCTGAAGGGTCGACCCTCTTCATTTCTTCAGCTGATGTTCGGAACGATCCCTCACATGGGTGTCCCCCGCCTCTCACACAGTGACTGATGGACATGGGCACCAGTGACCCCCCTGACTCGAAAAGAATGAATGGAGTTCAAAGAAAGACCTGCAATTTACAGGAAAGTCTAGCTAGGCAAATGGCTGGCTAAAAGCTGCAAATACAAGCTAGCAGCTAAAAATAACAAGATGCTGTCTCAAAAAACGCTAATTAGAAAAAAGTACGACCTAAGAAGCTAATAAATTCTAATTAGAAGCTAAAAGTAGCAAAAGACTAGCTGAAAGTTAATATCTACCTGTAAATGCCACCTAGCAAAAAGTAGCAGAAGGCTGTATAAAAGTTCAAAAGTGAAATGTGAGCTAAAGGTGGAAACTTGGAACATAACCCCATTAAACCCCTTTGATGACTTTTATATTTAAACTTAAATTAATTCACCTTTTTTTAAACAGCAAGTTGAGTCTTGTCAGACTTTACCTCCTCCAGTCCGACACTTATCGGTCGTCCTTCAGAGAAACAAATTAAACTAATTTGTTCACTTTAGGATCCAACAAAGTGTATCAACACTGAGGTTACATGAAAACTTCTAAATGTACCTTGAAGTAAACGACCTGTGGCTTGTCTGGGTTTCTAATAATTCTCATCGACATCCATTTTTCTATCGGATGTTTTTCAGCACGTAGTTCGTTCCACAATTTTTGTTCCATTTCAACACCACATACGTCAAAACGTTCAGGACATTCCTGCTGTGACTTTAGGTATTTGTACAATTTTAACTTTTTCCTTTGTCGGCCATGTTTTTCTCATTGAAAATGAACGTTGCTCTGTTCTCATCCTTGAGCCGTTTACAACCTATTTCAGCTTTTTCTATTTCTGCTATGTCTCTACTGCTTTACTTTTACTTTCCTGCTTTCAACAAACGTCAGCTGGTCAAAATGAGCAGTTTGGAAATTAAACCTTTTCAGCCTGGTTTCAACTTCAGCATCTTTTTTCAAAAATGATTCAGTGATGAGCATTCACACTGCATTTATACTGGAAATGATATTTCTCCGGTTTAAGTTACTGTAAACATTCGCTACCTCACAAACCGAGAGGCAGCAGCTGCCACATGAGATAAACTGGTTATCTTCTGCAGAGTATGACAGTTTTAGACAAACTATGCATTAACTTTTGATTGCTGAGTTAAAGCTTATGACAAACTGATGCCTTACTAAGTTTAAAACAATAACACAAAACCTTATTTCACCAACTGTGAAAGTTGTCTACTGACCACATTTGGCGAATCAAAGAAGCTAAACTGAAATAAATACCAAAAGAAAATACGTGAATAGAGTCTTACTGTTTACAATGAGGAAACGGAAGCAAATACCCGGAAAATGATACGAAGAGGCCACACAATTAAGAAAAATGTCCAGGTTTTATTTTTGTTTCATGGCTGTAGTCCATGTTAACAGTGTGTGCACGTGAGAGAACAAAAGAAGAAGCAGAATGAGAGAAAATAAGAACTTTTGTCCTCCGTTGTCCTTTGGTTTCAGGACATCAGAGGAACAACATTCTGAAGTTAAACTGTGTAGGTAAAAGATAAAACAACACAAGCTAAAGTAAACATGAACTGCGTCTAAAACTAAAAGACAGTGTTAGAACTAAAGGAGTGAGGCTCTGAGCCTGAACATGGAGCTACAGACCAGTCAACAGCAGTGCTAAGAGAACCGGGTCGACAGCAGAGTGGGTTAGAAGGAAAGAAGAGCAGAACGGAGCGTGAACGGGTTAATGGCATCGATCAGCTATTTGTCCTTCTGGTGGCTTCAATGTGGATGTTTTGTTGTTTTTAATTGAGGGGTTCCAGCGTCATGCAGATCAGCAGAGCAGCAGACAGGGGCGTCTGATTGGTCAGCTGGCTCTCAGCGAAGAAACATGGTTGCATTCTACTTGCTGGGCTGAGGGGGGGGGAACCCACCTGGACGAGGTTCGGTGATTGACATCTAGAATCTGGTGTTCATCAAACTGGCGTAAATGAGACGGCAGGAGGATGGGAGGGACGAGTGCAGCTTTTTCTCGCCGTCCTCCACCCTTCATCTCACAGCACCCTTCACTAAGGCAGCCCCTGCCCGCCGGCGCCTCCAGACGGCCTAACCAAAGTTGTGAATGGCCAGCCTGAACATGTCATTGGTGCACACCCAGGCTTCGCTAATGTTCTTCAGGATGAAACTCTGATGGAAACCCATGATCGGGTCTTCATCTACCTGCAGAGAAACACAGACACAACGAGGACGGATCAAGGAAAGGTTACAGAGCCAACAGTTTTCAAACATTCAGTTTAATTTACCACCAACGCATAACTCCAAGTGGACCTGAGGTTCTGAGGAGCTCTGTTTAATCCTAAGCAGGGCAGTTTTTGTAGGACTGGGTATTTCAAAATATTGGAAATATTAAAGGTTGGGGCTGAGTTTTTCAGGTGGAGGGATCTCTGTGTTCCTGATTTCTGGTTTATCACCAACAGAACTACCGTATTTTTTGCTGTTTAAGTTGCAGATTTTTGCATAACTTAGCATGCCTGCAACTTATACAGTGAAACGACGTATTTATGTTTTTCCCACATATTTATAACCCAATTTTTGGCTGAGAGCTGACGATTTCATTCATTCTGACATGGAAAATATTGAACACTACCATTTTCAGCCACTAGAGGGCCCTCACATAATTTGGCATCCCAAATGTATCATTAATAGGTAAAAGTGGCTATTAATGAGACACTCGGCTTGCCATAAAAAGCCACCTTCATCTCGCTCCGGAACTCCTGGAGCAAACGTCAAATCAGCTGCATTTTGCCGCGCCACCCAGGCGAAATGCAGCTAATTTTACCATTAAAGTGCATTTATTAAGGAAAAGTTCCACTGAGACATACCTTTGCTATAATGTCAAGCAAACAAATAATTGTTTATAAGTGATAATCTTGTTAAATTCTTGTTAAAGTCCTCCCATGCACACTCCTGTGGCCGCCATTTGGCAGCCATTCGATTTTTGGCACAACACCGGCCTACGTTTCCGGGTTGTCAGCGGTGACGCATAATAGATGCGACTTATACAGCGAAGCGACGTATTTATGTTTTTTTACCCACTTTATTAAGACATATTTGGACAGATGCGACTTACAAAACACAAAACACTTTTTTCTCTCGTCATTTTTACAATGACAGAAATCTGTCCTGGCCACGTTCAAAATGATGGACATCCATTGCGTCGATGGAGAACTTTAATCCATGCAGACAAGAAATGAGCGCATTTACAAAGAGATACCAGAGACGATGGCGCAGCATGGCTACACCCAGACTTATAAGCAGTGCCGAGATAAGCGAAAGAAACTCAAGTCCAATTATAGGGCTATTAAAGACCACAACGAGTGGAGTAACTCGAACACAATGACCTGTTACGATCCCGCCCACAGAGTGGGGAAACAAGTCACTTTGGCAAATCACCTCCACCTGAGAAGAACCGATAAGAAGCGAGCCAAGTGGAGCAGCACATATCAGTGGCAAAGATTGACTCTTGGTCTCGTGGCTATGGTCTTGTTATGGCTGACTTTCATTCGTCTTCTTTCAAGTGCATACCTGCACTTCTCCAGGTTCTCTTCTACCTGCTCTCACAGATCACAATGCAAGGACACAACTATTGATAAATATAAATATATATATATATATAGATAGATATAGATAGATATATATATATTTTTTTTCCTTTCTGGATGTTTTGGACCAGTCCTCATGACTACCTTTACCTTTATTGTTACATCGAAGGTCCACATTATTAGAATGGTCCATTTTTCCTCAGATTTCATTAGTTTACGTTTATATATCAGAACATATTTAGCATAAATGAAAAAAAAATTGGTTTGGTCATGGTTTGGAAAAACAGCTAAAATTATATAATCAGCATGTTTCAACTGGTTTAATTTACAGATTTCAGTATTAATTTCATGTTCTAAATAGATTAATGAAGTGTTTTTTTTTCTTAAGTAAATGGAGGTTTTAAGTGAAGAATGGGTGTCTACGGATTAAATTAGAGCTAAAAAAAAAACAAATTGCCTGAAAAAGACATTAAAGATAAATATGAAAGTTGTTGGGAGTAATAAGGCAGCAGATACTTGAAGAATTAAAAAAAGAACTTACTTTAAGCTGTCCTACGACCATACTCAAGATGCAGTTGTCTGGAGTTGGCTGGTGGTCCTGCGCTGTTATACTATGAGCGATCTTTGCAAAGGGGAGACTCTAGACCACAAGAAAAAAACAAAACAAACCAAAAAAGAGTGGGATTAATTTAGGCATGAATAACCATCAAATTCTTCTAGATTATCTTGATTTAAGTCAGATTAAAATGTGAGGAAGTAATGTTTGGTTTGAAGGTAAATAAGAAAACCAAAAAAAAAAATAGAAGAAGCTGGTTTGAGGGAAAATATCAAAATAGGAAAGAAAATGTGGAAAATAATAAAAATTTAAAAAGGAACCTGCGGTGATTTTTACTTTTATTATTGAATTATTTAATCAACCATATATATATATATAATATATATAATATATATAATATAATATAAATAATATAATATATATATATATATACACACATATATATGTGTATGTATGTGTGTACAGTATGTATGACATAGCGTCATGGGGCTTTTTTGAAATCATTTTGATCAGTTCTTCCAGTAACTTCCTGTCCAACGGTACCAGGTCATCCTCGGCACGTCTGGCGTCTCTACCAGAGACTAGTCAAGATGTCAGGCGAGCCGGTCCAGAACCAGTTCCCGTTTATCCCTTCAGTGTTTGGAACATGAGAACAACGTGATTTTATTTTTTCTTCATAAAAACGAACAGAAGTCCTGGAAAAGACGTGGTTCTTAAAGGTCCCTTTCTATAATGCTGCCATCAGGACCCTGACCCAGGACTAGAACCATCACAGAAACCTGATCAAAGTGTAGACCATTACAGAACCGGACATTTGGACCTTTTACTGGGAACAGCCTGAATACTTTTTTATCCTTTTTAGTTGTTCAACACAGGTCTGGAATCCTGATCCAACCGATTCAAGTTTCCACTGAGTGATGGTCTGACCCAAATGACTTGAGGACGAGGTTACTGTGGCTTTTTAACTGTTTGTTTATTTTTAGCAGTAATAAATGTTTGTGAACATAACTGTGTCACAGAGCAGGACTAGTTTCCAGATGTAACCCTCGCTCCGTGGTTCTGTCGACCACCGAGTGTCGTTTCTTGATGCTGTACCGTCCGAGACGTGAGATCACAGATGTCCCACCTAAGCTTGCTCCCACAATTTTTAAGCAATGTAATTTACCTTAATCCTGTAAATTATTTTAAAAAACTATGCTGAAAAGAGAGAAACTCTGATCATTCTTCGAAGAAAATGTAGTTTCTTCGTAACATTAACGTCAAAATTCCAGACTGTCCCAACTTTTCTGATAAGACAAAATTAACCGACTGTTGGTGATAAGCGTACACAATATAATTTTAATCCTCAACGTATCCATTTGTTTGGTGATTATTACAAATGGCCCCCGTTTTACATTACCCACACTGTGACCTCGGTGCAGAAACAAGTTACCAAAAAACTCACAGCGAGTTTCTCGACAATCGTCGTTTTCCCCTGGAACTGCTGTCCTTCCCACGTAAGGCATGACGAATCGATCTGTGAGGAGAAATGGAGGCGCGTTACAGAAAATAATCTATCAAAACGTTTCAGTACTCAAAACAGAGGACAAAAAAAAAAAACAGCAAACACAGCAAAGGGAAGAAGTTGGGAAAATGTTTAACAAGTAAAATAAAACAGACAGCAATGACCTGCAAATCTCATAAACTCTTATTTTATTCATAACAAAACAAACAAATATTAAATTGCTGCCTTTATAATTTGAAGTGTATGGCAGGAAGACATCTCAAAGTTTGGAAAAAGCGCAACATTGTAAAATTAATTTGTATGAAATTAATAAACAGTTGGAGGAGCGTTTAGAAAGGAATGAGGTTAATTGTCAACAGGTCATGAGAGGACTGGGTATAAAAAGACACCCCCGTCCCCCAGTTACAGACTTTTGCTAAAAGAAAAGGAGGGTGCTTCAGAGGGAAATGTGGATCTGGAACAACTTCGAGATATGCTGCTGCCATCAAATTCAAAATAACCTTTATGGTTATCGGTACTTTAAAAAATGTGCATTTCTCAGGGTAACCACTTGATACGGTATCAATTGTTCTACTGTGATTAATACATGAATTTATTTAAACTTTTCAGGACCAGGGTTGTATAATCATCTATATCCATAAAACGCTTTAGGTTGTAAGAAATAATATTTACAACATCTGCACACTGAGATGCACCAGATGTGAAGAGTCTTTTTTTCTATGTGCGTGCAAATGCAAAAATAGAGAATCAAATATACATTTAATCCTTCATTCTTAGAGTTCATAGCAAGTGTTCAGAGTAATAAAGCTGCGGAAATAGAGTTTGACATATTTAACTTAATCAACCAAGGAAGTGTTTTAAAATCTGCCTTCCACACATAATGCCAACTTAAAAAAAATCAACAACAACAAAAAGAAGCCGAGTTAAACCTACATATATTGATCCAAGTTGTGATCTGTCGTTGTCAAACATTTGGTAGTAGTGCTGCACAAAGCTGGATCCTATCTGCTCCCACAGAGGCTGCTCCGCCATCCTGAATCACCCTGCAACACACTGAGAGGGTGCAGGGAAAGAGACATTCAGAAACAACAGAATAAACCAGAACACAAGTAAAACACTTCATCTGAAACCCTTCTGCCATTGTATTACACAAACACTTCAGTCACCTATTGTTTTAGAGTTTTACCGGTTTAGAGGAGGTAGATGTTAGTTATTAAGTGATGTCTCACTGAGCTGTATGAAGACTAGTTGGTGAAAAAGAACCCTCTAAATAGCAGTTGTTGTTTTTTTGCAGTCTCACCAAATTCAGAGTGTTTTCTACAAGTGACCAGCAGGGCACACGGTTGCATTTTGAGCAGCCAGTTTTTGGAAATCCAGGCCTAGTTTAGTGTAAAAACTTCATTCTTGGCAGAGAGCACATTATTTGTCGCCAACACCGTCCCTGCCTCAGCACCTGGGGTACATTTAGAAGTGAAGAGACAGATTTGAACAACTATTATTTATGTTTTGTGCTTTTGTGTTTTTAGATCTGGACGTTTACCCTGATGTTTTCAGCCAGAGGAGTCAAAATACAGCTCTAGAGCTTTTGAGATGGGTTGAGACTAGAGGAGCACCGATAAATTGGCCCCGACTTCCTTAAATTTGGGAAATTGGACGATACTTGCATGAGAAACCGATTTTTACAGATATTTTTTTGTTTGTTTTAACAACAATTGTCTAAACTTCATTTATATTTCAGAGCACTACCTCATGGCCAGTTAAAACAAGTTTGTATTGTTCCTAGAATATTGTTCAAGGGTATGTTTTTCAGTAAAATAAGATTGGAAAATTGAAGGTGCAATGTGACCTTATAACACCTGATGGTGTCGCTTAGAAAACAAAACTGGTATCGGTCAAAATCGGAATCGGCAGGTCAGACTTTTTACAGATCGGTGATCGGCCAGAAAACTGCAATCGGTGCACCCCTACTTGAGACGCCCGCCCACAACAACTTTGAGACTATTTTGAGATAAAAGTTATTGAACCGCCTTGCCTTATATCTAACCAGTTGAGAATAGCACAAAAGTCGTGAGATATTCCCAAGTTTCTTATGAATGACTACCCTCCGCACAGAGATCCCAACTTTTGGTAATAAACCCCAGCCGTTCATTTATTTATCTTTTCTTTAAATTTTAAAATGACTAAATTTTTGTTGTTTGTACAGCAACTGTTCTTTCCAACAGAAAAGCAGCGCTTGTAACAGGCCAGTTTAGAACCAGTTTGTCTTCATGAACAGTCTCAACAAAAAGCATCAATCATTTATTCATCCACATTAAGCAGGTTCTCATTCATGTTTTACGTTTACAAGTTAAGGTTCCACTGGCAAATGGTAAGATCTGCTGTTCCTTTCTGTTCATTCAGCTCCAGCTTTGCCCACACATTCAGTCATTTAAACTATTTTTCCTACAAATGAGAACCAAACTCTTGGATGGAAAGCATCACAGATCATAAAGAGAGGCTGAGGTTTGGGATGCATTTCCATCCAGTTTGACACCTACCTTCTTACTTTGAATGCAATTTCCCTTAAAATACCGTTTTATTAAAGCATGATCCAATATTTTATAACTTGAGAATGGCTGAAACTGGTTCAGAACCAAACAGCATCTAGTTTGTAAACTGGGAGCTAATGTGAATGAACGTAAAAAAAAAACCCTACCTCTTATTGCTCGAGAATTTAACACATTCCGCAACTTTATATATATATATATATAAACCCGAATACTTTGTTGTCGTGTTAGCAAATATCTTAAAGTACATTATCAATGCTTCAAAAGTAAAACACAGAAAACTAACGCATGCTTAGAGGTTTTGCTGAGCTGACAGCCCTGGTCACGTGACCCCTCGTAAAGACAGTTGTTGCTGGAGCAATCTGAGCGCGCTAAACATCGTTAGCCTTGAATTCCGTGATTAACTGAGGGACAAATACACATTGGACATGAAGGAACAGTTAAAACCAGAGTTGGGAGCAGGAAAATAAGCCAGCTTGAAATAAAGTCCCTACTGTTTCAGCCAGTTGGGTTAGTTCAGTAGCCGCTGCTAGCTTGTGAGCTATTTGTGTAGTTCAGCTAGCTCCGAGCTAACGCTAGACGTGACTAGCAGTTATTTTTCCAGGAGTTGGGTGACTGACAGGCGGGCGTTGGTTTACCCCTCTGATGCTAAAAATATCTACCCCCTTCTACGTGCTGGTGCCTCCTGCGGGCCCGGGCTAACAGCCCTGGAGCCCTGCAGTAGCTATAGGCGTGCCCGACATTAGCCTGAGTACCGGGAAGAGCTGCTACTTTACCACGTTCTGCTTGTTTACATGTCTGAGTAAACAAGTGTTTGTTTTGTTTTCGCGCATGTTTTGAGTCACTATTTTGTGCGAGAAGTGGTTTGAAACAAGTAATGCAAACTTACCTCTCACTAACTAACGCCGAGGCCGGCTGCACGATGGACAGTGCAATGTCTCCTCCGCTACGAGGGCACGCAGCCAGAGACGTTACGAGCGCAATGCATTGTGGGGATTGTAGTGTTCATGCAATCTTTTAAAAAAATCTAGACTTTTTAAAGTTTTTTTAAATTAAATATATATATATATTATTTTTTTATTTTAAAGAATGTAATTCTGCGACATAAACTAGTAAACTATACACTTTGACTCTGACGGTGAATTTAAAATATATGTATATACAAACTGAGTAAAAAGAAGCTACTTATGTTTTGTTTGTAATGACCCAGAGTTTCTAGTAATATTTTAAATAGTTTTTTGTTTTTTTTTGCAAAGAGCCAGTTCAAACTGACTGTATTTTTAACACTTTTTGCCTAGCACAGCAACTGAGAGATAATTGTAGACTCAACTGAATAATTAACAAACTGTGACTTCTTGAAAGGGAAACAAAATAAATAGGCACTTTATTAATGAATATAAACATTTCTTAGGCTGATCTCACCTATAATCTGCATATATTTCTAAAATGGTTTTGATTATGTATAAAAAAAATCTAATTTATAGAATGTCTGTCAACTGTTATAAATAATTTTCACTTAGTTTACAAGTAATATGTCTATTCTTGGGCAGCATGGTGGCGCTACTGGACTGGTAGAGCTGCTGACTCTCAGCGAAAAGGTTGCCGGTTCAAATCCCGGTCCGAGGGCCTTTCTGGGTGGAGTTTGCATGTTCTCTCCGAGCATGTGGGAGTTTTCTCCAGTCTCAAAAACATGCTTGTTAGGCTGATTGGTAACTCTAAATTGTCCCTAGGTGTGAGTGAGAGAGTGAATGGTTGTTTGTCTCTATGTCCCTGTGATGGACTGTGGAGACCTGTCCAGGGTGTACCCCGCCCCTCGCACAGTGATTGCTAGACATGGGCACCGGCGACTCCCGTGACCCAAAATGGAAGAAGCGGGTAAAAGATAATGAATGGATGGATGTTTATTCTTTTCATCAAATGCTGCCGGCAGGCCCAGGCCTCCCTTGCAAAAGAGATCTGTGATCTCAATGGGATTTGCCTGGTTAAATAAAGGTTAAATAAATGAATAAATAAATAACATAATACCAGTAGTAATAATAATAATGATAACAACTTGTTTCTTCTTTTCATCTCCTTTACATAATTTCCAGTGATATGTTTCTTCTTTTCATCTTTTTTACAAGTCATTTTTTCAATCACAATAATGATTAAATTCAACTAAACTCCATTAAAAAATACGTTATTAATCCCAAAGGGAAATTAAATGTTGTTGTAGCTCATTATCCTGTTTCATTCAACAGATGTTATAGATGCTGATGGCTGTAGACAGGATGGATCTCCCCAAGTGGATCTGAAGAATCTGGTCACAGATGCCGATCTGTCCACCCAGACCTGGCGGGCCTCTTGGTCTTCCTGGGCAGCAGGATCGCTTGAATGCCAGGTAGAGCAATGCCCACTTCTCCCAGCAGCCTGCTGACCTCCTATATACCACGGACAGCCAACTGCAAGTGTCGGGGGATGATCATCCTCTTGTTGACACGAGCCGTATTCCTCGCCAGCTCCAGGATCTGTATGTATCTGAGATATATGAGCGGGTAAAGATCTCATCTCTGAGCGGGTATAGATAATGGATGGATCATTACTAGCAATCCATTATCTTTACCCGCTTCTTCCTTATCAGGTCACAGGGTTACTGGTGCCCATGTCCAGCTATCACTGTGCGAGACACGGGGGACACCCTGGACAAGTCGCAAGTCCATCACAGGGAGAGACAAACAACCATTCATTCTCTCATTCATACCTAGAGACAATTTAGAGTTACTAATCGGTCTAACATGCATATTTTTGGCCTGTGAGAGGAAACTGGAGTACTTGGAAAAAAACCCACCCATGTACGAAAAAAACATGCAAACTATACCCAGGAAGGCCCCCCGGTCGGGATTTAATTCAGTGGCCATCTTGCTGAGAGGCGGCAGCTCTACTAAATGTGCCACTGTGCCACCCTTATTATTATTATTATTATTAGTTATTCAAGGATTCAAGTTTTTTTGTTGTCATTCTCATCACATGTGGTACATAAGGTGGAACGAAACTATGTACACAGGGTCCCAGTTACATCCAACAAAAATAGAAATTGTAAAGAAAAACATTAGTAAGATCCGAGTCATGAACTAAAAATATACTAACAATGTCCATGCTCAATAATCCAGGTATAAAATCCAACAATTTTCAGTCAGGTCATATGGACAGTTTCTTTTTTTGGCTGAAACATTTCACCTTCCACCCGGAAGGCTTCATCAGTCAAGGAAACACACAACACAAAATTGATTCTTCCCCCAAACAGCTTACTCCAAAGTGGAACAAACCAGTTATGTTGGTGCTAAGATGGTGTCTTTGGCACGCCCCCTCCTTTGGAGCCGGAGAATCAAGTCATTCTTTCAGGGATGAAGATGTTCACATCCTTGATAGAGAGGAACGATGGTTTGAGAGAGGAGTAAAGGAGGCCATTGACCATGTGAGCAGCTGGTTTTGGTTGTCAGCAGCAAACTGGTTGATCCACTCTGAGAAGGTGCTATTTATAAGACTGAGCTGAATACAGCACCTCAGACTGAAGAAGTCTTTCGGATGAAAGACGAAACGTTTCTAAAAAATTTTTGTTTTTTTGAATGTCCAGAGGACCAGATTTAACTTTTTAGATATTCTTAGTTTAGTATTTCAGCATAAACAAAATAAACTTGCACAGTAAGATCATTAAAATAATATTAATAGTAATTTAAAAAATCTAGATGTTCTTAAGCCCTGAACAGTACTCACAGCTGTGGACTCGTGTAGTCCCTTCTAGATGTACCGCCGGCCGAACTCCAGTACCCACAATGCACCGCTGCAGCCTACAGTACATTCTGCTTCTCCGGGATGTCACACCGCTGCTATTTTCTCTCCACAGTCTCGCTCACTCCCTCAACCCACAGCTCCAGCGGACTGACACCGGACTCTGAGTCGAAACAAACCAACAACAACAATAAGACACGACCCAAAAGGCCCGGAAAATAAAATGGCAGAGCTCGGTTCGGGAAGCCTGCCGTTGATAGGAGATCCAGCTTTCAACTACCAGCAGGACTCGGAGCAGGAACTGAGCGAAAGGCTGAAGCGGCTGTACCCGGCTGTGAACGAGGAAGAGACCCCGTTACCCCGGTCCTGGAGCCCCAAGGATAAATACAGCTACATCGGGCTGTCACAGAACAACCTGCGGGTCCATTACAAAGGTTAGAGGAGCGGTTCTGACTCGGTCCCAGACAGCTGAGAGGTCTAATCGGTGTGTGTGTATCTGCGGAGGGGGCACACACACACACACATACAGTGTGATTATGTCGTGTGTGTAGTTCTGGTAAACCTAGCCGCCTGTCCTCGCTTTGTTTCCCAAATGAGCAGAGGAATTCCCAAACGGGTGACAGTGAACCCACTAACCCCTGACAGTTGCTGCTATCCCCAACGAACTGAAATCCGCGTCCCTCATTGTTTATTTCCCCTCCGTTGTTGTTGTTTGTTTACTGGAAAGTGCCCTCGCTGACACCAGAAGGGGTCAGTTAGTTTCAGTTAGCCGAGGAACAACAAGCAGGAGTCCGCTAGCTTGCTAGCAGCCTCCAGAGCGAACGGCAGTTAGTTTGTTAGCTTAGCACAAGCTAGCTGCTTGTTATTGAAAGAAGGCTAACAAGATGGATACGAGCCCAACTTGGTGTCAGCCTTCAACAATGTTACGCCCTAGTGTCAGGTTTGCACCACGCCACACGCAGCTGTTGATTAAAAATATCGTTAGTTGTAATTTTCCAGAAATGTGTTTTTATTTTGTAGCCTGAAGAGGCCCATTCAGTTGTGTGAGCACAGCAGCCACAGGTCCAGTGGGTCCAGCTGTGACACATGAGGCCTCTGCGCATTCAGCCTTTATCAGACGAAATAAAGCGCCCATCGTGAAATAAATCAGTTTTTGTCTTTGAGCAATAACTGCTGCAGTCAGTGCTTCAAACTGCGGTCACGTTTAGATTTTAAATAAAATCAAAACATCAGACCCCACTGCCCCAGGAGTTAAACTAATCAACTCAAAGGCCTCTCTGGTCCAATTTGTTTTCAGCTTTTTTATTAATTTGCTTCACAGAGAAACCAAGTACAAGAATAATCAGTGAAGGAAGGTAGAAACCCTTCAAAGATCCTTCTAAACGCATCGTACAGGTTTAAAATAAAGGCCTGTCATTCCTTGAGGAATGCATATCGCCCGCCATTTTATGATTAGGAATTAACCTTAGAAATAATAAAATGCCACGATCAGATTATGTGTTGTAAATGACTCTCGGCTACTACCACGCCAAATTTTGGCTCGGTGTCTGTCAACCTGACTACTTGTTTTAGCTAAGGTTGTTTAGATGTGGCGGCCATCTTAAGTAATCACTTGTAGAAGTACAGTACATCCAGTGATTACTCTTTTGGAGTTTCATCAATCATCCCAGAGGGTTGTGAGATATTTTGCTAACAGACATGAATGACTACATAGATTAATGATTGTACATAATTTTCCACCTGTCATGGCAGCAGGCAATAAAAAATAAAGTTAAACAGGAATAAAAATTAAAATAAACATTTAATTTTACTTGATTTTACGCAAAACCAACTGCGACATGTGGAGGATGAATTTTAAAATTATGAACGTAATATTTCTAAAACTCCAGAGTTTATGAGTTCATTTTATCTTGTTGGCTCTTTGCATCAGTGCAGATCAGCTGTCTAACCTGTTCCTTTTAAAGGTTTATCAGATAAATATCTACACAAGAAGCAAATATTAGTTTAAGATATGGACTTTCTTAAACAGATAGCCTGAACTGAACACCATGCATAATTGATCACTGCTGAGCTGAATATCAGCCCACGTTTTAATCATTTGTGCTATAAATGCACCTTAAGTGTCCTTATTAAACATTTATTTCTGGTTCTAACGTGACCAGATACACTTGGTGAGAACATTAAATCCTGTCCGTGCTAAGTCCCGTCCCATATTCCTCTGCAGCTGTTTGGAGCAGCACAACGAGGTTCGTGTTTAAATATAAATCATGCCATTTCACTTTGAGTAATGTAGGCCGTTCAGTGTTTTTGTCTGCGGGGAGATTAGGTGACGCTGCACGTTTAAGAGATGACACACAAACAGGTCGGTTCTGGAGCGGGTTCCTCCAGCTCTGGCTCTCCTACCTCTCAACCCTGGTGGTTTGGATGCTATTTTGACCGGTGTGCTAATTTCGTCTGTTCAAGGCCGCACAGTCTTTACCTGAACCGTGCCGCACACACACATCCATCCTGCAACTTGCACTCAGAGTAAGATTAGAACCAGAGCATTTGATACAGAGGAATGCATGTCGCCCGCCACCTTTCATCTTTTAATCTATGACCATTTCATAACGAGAAAGGACAAAGTTGCAGTCGTTTGGGTCCAACTTTGTAAATAAGGTTAGGCATGATTTCACGCAGCGTCTGTTAGAGCTTGGAGTATGTTTTGAGGATGACTCTCAGCTACTACTGCACCAAACTTTAGCTCAATGTCTGTGAAACTGTTCTAGTTGGCTAAGGTCAATTAGCTGTGGTGGCCATCTTTTGTTGACTCCAGAAGTTAAATACTTACAGATCTACATCCTGTGGTTACTTTACAAAAGTTTAAATATTCATCTAAAACTGTTCAAGTCATGTGTAAATTTGTGTTTTATTATTTAACTCTTGCTTTCAACAGGCTGTTTATTACATATTGTTGCCATGTTTCGTTAAAATCTGTCAGTGTTTCTTGAGATATTTTGCTAACAGAGTTGATACTAACAGATACTGCCCAAGTTATTAAACAAAAAAGTTGTGCAACCTGTAGCATGTGTCGAGGATAACTCTCTGCACCAAATCTTAGCCCAATATTTGAAAAATTGGATTGATTCATTTTTGTGGTTTCGTAAGTTCACTTAGCTGTCGTGGCCATCTTAAACTGGACTGACTCCAAATAAATTTAATCCAAATGTTCATCTAAATATAATTTATTTCTGCAAGTTTCATAGTTTGTAATAAAAAAAAATAGAATTTTAGCTAAATATAAGTAAAACTAGCTAAGTTTTAGCCATATTTGTGTTTCCTAGTCAGCTGTCTGTGGCAGCCATCTTGACTTGTGTTGACTTCAGTAGAAAATCAATTGTAGATGTGCAGCCAGTGATCACTTTCGAAGAGTTTTGTCAAAATCCATCTAGTGGTTCACAAGATATTTAGCTAACACTACAGAAAAATGAACAGGGACTCAGCCTCTCTTTTTTTTTTTTCTTTCATAATATTATAAGTATTGAGACATGATTACAGAACATCTGGCCTCAGTTAAATTTAATGATCCATGTACAATTAAGTCCTGCCTGCGTGAAATCCATTAAATTAACGTGTTTGGTATCAACCAGGAGCTGCTGATTAACTGATCACCATCAGCGGGTCCACCTCTAGAAAAGCAGTGGTCTTTGTTGCTCTGGAGCATACAGGTGTATGTATGTTAACACAATGCCAAGGTGAAAAGACATCAGCAATGACCTCAGAGAAGCAGCTGTTGTGCCCCTCGATCTGGGAAGGGTAAAAGGGAATTTTCAGTTTAGTGTCCGTCATTTTACAGAGTGAAAGATTATTCATGAGGGGAAAACCTTTCAGACAGATGACCGTCTTCCCAGGAGTGGCAGATAATTCACCCCAAAGGTCAGACTGTGCAATGCTCAGAAAAAAGAGCTCCAGCCTAGACTCTACAGGTTAGAGGTCAAAGGTCTTGACAGAATAATTAGGAGAAATGTTGAATAACGATGGCTTGTTTGGAAGAGTTGTAGGAGAAACCTTCTCACTAAAACAAACATGGCGGTACGACCTACACCTAATTTATGCTTGCCGTTCTTGGGTTCAGGAACGGTGTCGCTCAACAAAACTGATGGTGTCAAAATGTGATGGGGATCACTCTCGGCTACTACCACACCAAACTGCTGCTCAACATCAGTTAAATGGACCGAGCTGCAGACATTTTAGTGTTCGTTAGGTCACCTGAGTCAAGTTCATTCCAAAATCGAATCAGTTATCGGTTTACATCCAGTGATTTGATGACAGTTTCATTAAAACTCCCAACATGGTTCAGGAAATATTTTGCTCACAGACACAAGCAAAATCCTTTTTCACCGCTCGGCATTTAAAACAATCTCTGCTCATGAAAACGTATTATTAGATTTACTTTTTAATAAAATAATCCCTTTATTTCAGATGAAACTATGCTTCTGTGTCTGAAACAGTTCTCGGGAACATGAATGAATAATTTCTATAGCTTGGATAATTTCTGTCAGCTGTTCAGAAGAGACGGGCCTGACTCCGGCTGATGTCGGGTCAGTCATCAGAACTCTCTGCGACACAAAGCGATCCTGCAGATTAACTCGTGCTGGGATTACAGAGATGACTTTTTGGAAACGTGTCACAGTAATATAACGTTGTTGTCGGGCAGAAACTAGACTCTTCTGCAGAACTGCGATTCTGTATGTCCTGTGGAGAAAACGATGTTCTGAATCTGAGTAAACTAGAGGCCTGCAGGGAGAGACGCGTCCTTGACACCAGAAACAGTCCGGATGAAGAAGTCAAACAGTCGAGACTCTCTTACCGACATGAATTTAAACTGATTTCTAGTTACCTAGCCTGTGTTAGCATACAGCTAACAATGCTGCTGTTTTATTTTTTTATTATTCCTGAAGATTTGCCTCCCTCTCTTCTGAACTGATGGATTTTTTTTAACCGTTTGACTCTGCAAAGTAATTTAGGTCCAGTTTACACAAGACTGTTTTTAAGTTAAAAAGGAACAAAGCTGTTATGCTTCGGCTGTTCATCCACTCAACAGTGACCGGACTCCATAACACCGAAGCTTTTTAGATCCAGGTCTTAGAGCAGAAGAACTCCCAGCATTGTTTCAAAGGAAAACACACTATGGTTTCAGTCGGTCCATAGTTAATCTGCTCATGCCTGAGTAGATCAACAACAGTAACAATGGTGGACAGCAGAGGACTGTTTGTGCTGCTCATCCCAACTTCATTCGTTCTAGAAAAATGTTCATGTATGCCATTTTGGATGTAACTGTTCTCATGATGGCGACTGATTCGTTTATGCATGTGTTGTTAAAATGCAAAAGTCACAGTGCCACCTGTTGACCGAACGTGAAACTACAGCAGGTTGAACGTATTTTGTGTTCTTG